GGGGACAATGACGCGCCAAACGACCTGCCAATGTCCTCGGCGCTCACTCAGCCTGAGGAAGGCGCTGTCGCGAGTCGCAAGGTACGGCAATACTTGCACAAGATCGCACGTGTTGTGAGGCGCCGTCGTATGGATCCAAGCCATAACTGAGTGTCCAAATTTGCACTTGGAACAAAACAGCCACCCGCGCGGGTGTTAAAATAACCCAAAGTCAAAATCATCTCACATCATGCCTACGAGCTGCACCCGTGGAAGAAGCCATTGCGCTAATCAGGTTCATACAGGGGATTGGTGATTCTTCGATGGCATCATTCCGCGTCTGTCTAGCGTGGCTTTGCATCCTTTGAAGTCGGGGGGCGGACGGGCCGCAATGTTCTCAATAGTCGCCAACCTGAGATAAACTCGACTGCCGCGGACTAAAGGTTGCGATGAGTCGTTGCTTAGCACTGGTTCATGCGGGCGGCACTGGGCTTGGGGGGGACAAAGCTGGTCTGCGCGGGCCGGCGGCGTGTGGCCGGCGCTCGACACGATGCCGTCCGTTGCGAGCCCGCACGAAGGCACAAACATCTGTTTGCACCACGGCAACCAAAAAGTTTCAATGTTGTGAAACCATAAGCTTGGTCACACCGAGCTTCGTCTGCCAGACAGACACACAACGCTCCAACACGAAGCTCTGAAGCAAAGATCCACTGCACGCACACCCTGGGGTCGTAGCCACTCCCCCGGAGCTCAGCCCGACCTTGGCCTATTCCACTCCCGGCTTTTTGTTGTCAGATCCCCATCCAGTGCCCTTCGAATACTCTCCCTCCTCCGTGCGGGACAAGATCACCGGCATGTTCTGTATATCTTTCGAAGCGAGGGCACAAGATGCTCTTCGGAGTGTCCGGCTGCGGAACCATCGCAAGGTCCTGGCGCACCAGCGTGCGGAGCGATCTCAGCTCGGCGGTCATCGTCACTGAGCGTGCCTTGGGCCTTGCTTGCCCTGCAGATCCGTGGCGTGGGGAGACTGTTGCGTCTGTTCGGCACAGGCCGATCAAAGACTCTAGCTCAAGGCACAAAGGAACAGAACGGCTAGAAACGAAAGCTTGCCAGCCAACCACTCCTCGAAACCGAGTCACCGCCCCCCCTTGCGGGCCCGCGCCCACCAGCCCCTCACAGCACAAAGAGCTGGCCTGTCCTCTATGACACCGGCGGGCTATGACGTAGCCAGCCCAATCCTACCCCTGCAGCTGTCTTCCAGGAAACTCCACCTTGCGACCCTCGCCTCGCTCGTGTACCTGGTCGTCCAAGTGGGCAAGCAGAGGCCTTTGCCAATGGGGGATCGTAATCTTGGCATCAGGCCCACGGATGATTCTGGTGCACGAGCATCACTGTTGCCCGTGATGGCTTGTACCTCATCATGTGTTCTGTTTTACGTGATTCACGTCTACCGGCGAGTCTTGCTCGTCTGTGGCACCCTCGAAGCCGCTGCCACTCAGAACAGAGCGAACAGTGTTAGGGCTAGGACCAACCAATGTCGAGCAATCGTACGGAAAACACACCAAATCTTTACTGGCACCCAATCATGCGCCCCGTTGCTCTGTGAGCCGCTAGACCACCTCGGTCCCTACTAAGGTTTGACGTGGCCCCGTTCCTTGGACGGTTTTAATATGCGGCACTCTTCATCCGGACACTCTGTTTCAATCAGGTTCTTGGGTCTGCTCAAGGAACAAACGTGCGAATGGACGCATTCTAGCGCAACAACTGGTCCCACCGAGCAAACGAGACTGTTGCGCAGAAGGCAGTCGCCCGGATTGCGGCACTGGGGTGGCCTCTAATTGGGGGGGGGGGGGGGTCTGATGTAGTCAGGCACAGCTCGCCGAGCCTGTGCTGGCCGATTATCCGTGCAGTCGCGACATTTGGTACAAACCCCTATGGGAAACCTGCGGTGCTTTGAGTGGCCCCTCTGCTTTGCTCTTGACTCCCGGGTCTGCTGCACCAGCGACCACGTTCGAAAGACGCATTGTGAGCATATCTTAGATGCAACTGAGGCAGATCTATATTCGGAGGCATTCGGAGGCATTTCGTTGGCTGGCCGCACAGCGAAGGGTAACGTATACGAGAAACCACCCACAGTCGGGGACTTGAAACTTGATCGGCAATGCCAACAGTCGTGCCCCCCGCATTCCTACCAGACTCGCCAGACTATTATTATGCCCACTGGCCTTTGTCGGTGAAGGCAGGCGAGGACATGACCTGATCCTATTCTTGTCGGTTGCGTGACATTTCAGTTCAGCCACAAGGAAACTCCAGGCGAGACAGTGGCCGGCAAGCGGCCGACCACCAGTTACCCACAGTTTTGACGCACACCAGGACGAGTCACCAAGCCGCCGCCGTATCCGGACCGGAGCGATCGCATTGTCTTGTGGCATGGACACAATCCAGCATCTGTGCCTGTCTCGACATGATGCCTATTCTACCTGGGGCGAGGGACGCTCTGCACGTGGGATATTCATCCTGAGGGCTGGCTGAGGGCTGTCTCACCTTGGGGGGGCCCTTTCCCGAGGCATGTATGTCGGTGAGCCAGCCCGTGCGAACTCAGACAATGTCTAAGTGGCGTCAGCTCTGGCGGGCCTCGAAGCACCCTCACCATCAAGCATGGCCCAGAATGCAGAATGCGGTGCCAGGAAGCTCAACACGGATCGTCATGTCACAGCATGGATACTGAGCAGCAGTCCATTGAGCTGCTGGCCGAGATGGGGATATCACCGGTCGTGTGTCTGAGCTGGCCAACCCACATCTCGCCCTCACCAGCGGGATCCGTCAGAAATGCACTCTATCAAAGTTTTGCCTGGGGTGCTTCGCAGGACCGTTGCCACCCCTATGCCGTCATGCGCACACGCCCCCCTTCTTCTTCCTGGGCCCCCCTGCAAGCCCTCCCACTGAGCCCCTCCAGAGCGCGTGCCTTTTTTGTGTTGTCCGCTCTCGTCTGTTTGCAACACCATTGTGCGCTAGTCGAGCACTCGAGCCCGATCTGCTCTGGACCCCCTATCATTCCGCTTCCAAGGTTTCCCCTTGGCCGCAACTTGCTCAACGCCCCCCTTTTCGAGGCCTCTGTGTGCCCGGCGCGCAGATGCGCGCAGAGAGATCTCGCGGAGCCATGCCTGGGGCATCTGAGGCTGGCAACACCGCGCGCCGGCTCGCATGGACAAGGTACATGAGCCTCGAGCCTCGAGCCTCCACGGCCTCGACTGCATCGCCGCCCAGGTCCGGCAGGTACCTGGCAGGTGGTTGAAGGAGGGGCCAAGTCGTACGTACCCAACCCTTGCGGGGGACAATCAAAAGGACGCCAGCACGGGCTGCACGGGCTGGGGAGGACGTACCTACCGTACCCCCCCCCCCCCTGGGGGCCCTGGCCCAAAAGGCAAGTCTATTGTGCCAGTGGGTGGCGGGCGGGCGCCCAGCGATAGCTGTCAGGCCATGTCTGATCCCTTTGCTCCCACCCAGTAATTTCCCGACCAGCAGCACCGCCAGCCTGGTCATTCTAATACGTGCCGTGACCCGTCGTCCGTCTGCACCGTTTCGACATTGCGACTGAAATGCTCGTGCTCCCTTTCGTCATAAAGTATATACCTGCCATACCATTTCCGCCCACGCCCTGCTCCCTCACCCACTAATTACCAGCCAGCACCGCCTCGAGCTGTTACACCTGCCCGCAAGCATCCGCAAAATTTCTTCTCCTCTGCGGTGGCATCAAATCAAGCAAGACCATAACCGCGTACCGGCCAAGTGTGCCCCTCTGCCCCAGTCCAGCCAAGCACACCGACAAGTCTGCAAACTTGAGAGAGCAGGGAGGAGACTAAAGCCTGCCCGCCTGCCCGCCCCAGACCAGCCGCCTGCCCACGCAGGAATCATAACCCACCGGCTTCGGTGTGCCAGCAGTCACCACATTTTCGACCTTGCAAATTGCGCCTCACCCTCTCGCGCCTGCGCCTGTGCTCACAGCAACGCCTTCGAGCGTCAAATTTGCCTTGGCGACAGCCGCATATTCTCTCTCGCAGCTCCTCGCCACGCGCCACCGAAGAGTGCACGCCTCAGCGCCGGTGAAACCCGTGCCCTTCGCACCTGAGATTTCTAGAACCTCCACAGACCAAAGGCAGGCCCAGGATTGCCCACAGTTGGTGCTAGCTCATCCTCGCCCATCCAGCACCTCGAGTCAGCTCCCAGACCGGTAACTGCGCATCTGCGACACGGAGCTCAAACCAGCACCCAGCACCACCGCTCCACGCTTGTGGGCACCTGCCGTCAGAAAGGCCACCTCGATCTCTGCATTTGGATGTGCAGTCGGCCGCTGCAGGGTTCCTCGTCCACGTCCCTGGAGCAAAGACGTCTCTGCCTGGCCAGGGGCAGCGCCTGTCAGGCGTACGGCAGTGCTGTCCGAGGATCCACGTTTTGACTACTCCAGGCCTTCGGTCACCCCCAACGAGTGACGGCCCAAACCGTCCACCTGCATGAGAACTGCCAGCTCATCAGCCCCCTCTGAGGACTGGTCGGGCCACCAGATATAGGCGACGCCCTCTCTCCGGCCTGCGTCGCTCTGCGCAGCGAGTGGTCGCGGCGCTGCCAGAGGTCCCGTGGTCAGAGGTGTCGCGGTCTCCTGGTCGTACCTGTACTCCAGCTGTACCTTGTCGTTGCATGCAGTCTGACTGGACTCATCATCACCCCAAATCCTATCAGGCTTCCGATTGCCTTGCAGTACTCCCACGCGGGCTCGTCTTACTTAATGCCAGGCTCGCGCTCGCCCAGCTCGCGACCCTGTTACGACAGTAGACGTTGAGCCCGTTTAGTAGCCGTCGTCCACCTACTTGATAGAGATCTCCCAGCTTTGGCAAAGGCGATGCCAAAGATGACTTACTCCTAGATACACCCCCGTCCTCCACTTGGTCAGACTATATATCCTGCAGCTGGTCTGAACCTTCTGACCCTCACCATCAACGTCCACAAGACGAGCCAGCGCAACCATGGCTTCCACAACATACAGCCCTCGGGTCCGCTCCGGGTCGCAGACCTCGATAGGCACACCCATCTTGGCCGCTCAGAATGCTCTACTGAGGCGTGCCCGTACCCACCAATATCCAACAAGCCAGCCTACCATCCAGCCAACCTCGGCGCCATCTTCATATCCAGCATCTTATACAGCTCCTGCAATGTTCCCCAACGACTCGCCACTTTTGTCTCCGGAAGCCGGGGGGTTCACCATCAGCAGCTCTGCCAATGCCTCGCCGGACTACCACCGAGGACGGGATATCGAGCAGTTTCCCATCCCGCCACCTTTTTCTCTGGGAGAGGCATTGCTGTCGCGGAAACCAAGCGCCAATTCTCTCACGCATCCCAGTACTGCTCCGCCTAGTGCAATGGCCAGCGTTTTGGCCGAAAAGAACGACGTCGGCGGCAAGGGTCTCATGAGGCGACTCTCGAACCGCGCTCATCGGCTAGCCAGGCCGCGGCGCACATCGTCGGTGGCGCCGAGAAGTCGAGATGGAAGTGTTGGGCCAGGGATCATGCGACGTCGTAGCGACAGTACCAACACGGCACCGCCAATGGATCCCTTCACCTTCGGCATCGACTCTGACGATGAGTTTGCAGATGAGCGCCTCGACCTTACCTCACCCCCGTCTGTCTTTGGTGGCGAGAGCATGATCCGCGATTTATCGTCCGGCAGCACCGCAGCATCCATGTCAGGTTCCGGCCCCTTCTTCGACACGCCGCAGGCACCCATCATACCTCTTGCCCTGATCAAGGGTACGGAGATGAGCAAGGTTTCGAAGAAGAACAAGCTCAACAGGCTCAAGCGCGTCGTGCTGACACTGGAATCAGAGACTGGTAAACTCATTTGGACAGCCAAGAACAAGCAAAAGTGTCTCTACATCGATAACATCAAGGAGATCAGGACGCGGTCAGACATCCGGCAGACACGCCTTGACCATGGCATTGCCGAGATAGAAGAAGGCCGATTCTTCAGCATATTCTACGCGTCAGCGGAAAAGTCGCGGGCCAAGGTCATGCATCTCATCGCGGACGACGAAGAGACATTCACGCACTGGGTCACCTCGCTAGACTCGGTCTCCAAGCACCGTGAAGTTCAGATGGCTTCTTTGATGGCGTTCAATGATGGCGCCGTCTTCAACTTCTGGCAAAACGAAATGCTGAAGCATTTCGAAGGCAGAAATCACACGGCAGAAGAAGAGGTGATGGACTTTTCCGCCGTCCAGAGAGCCTGCCGGAATCTACACATTCACATACCACTCAAAGACTTGAAAACCAAGTTTATAATCGCAGACAGCAACCAGACAGGAAAGCTCGACTACGCCCAGTTCAGAGTGCTTGTGAGCGAGATGAAACGCCGCGGCGACATCCGAAAGATCTACCTGTCGATCGCAGCTGATCCGGAGCGAGGCATCACCTGGCCGGAGTTTGCCGCGTTTCTCCACGAAGAGCAAGATGAAGAAGTTGCGGCGAATGCAGATCTTTGGGAGTCGAGATTCAACCACTACGCGCGCCGTTATCGAAACCGTACCCTGGAGCCCGCCACACCTGACATGAGGGCACTTAGGCTCACAGAGCAGGGGCTTTCCGCCTATCTCACCTCGAAGGACAACTGCACGCTCACCGCGGCTCCCGCGACATACTCTTTCGACCGTCCAATCAATGAGTACTTTATATCCAGCTCACACAACACGTATCTTGTGGGGCGGCAAGTCGCCGATGACTCGTCCCTCGAGGGCTACATCACGACACTCGTCCGTGGCTGTCGTAGTGTCGAGGTTGACTGTTGGGACGGATCTGACGGTCAGCCAACCGTCAAGCATGGATGGGCCCTAACCAATCCCATATCATTCCGCGAAGTCATGTTCACAATCAACAAATACGCATTTACTGCCAGCCCGTTTCCCCTGTGGATTTCCCTCGAGGTGCACTGTAACAAAGAGCAACAAGAGATCATGGCCGAGACGATCAAGGAGATCTTTGGGGTACGCCTCGTGACAGCACCCCTCGACCCTGCCTCGGATAAGCTCCCGACGCCGTCAGAGCTCATGGGCCGTGTCCTCATCAAAGTCAAGCAGACCGCCGAGAAGTATGGCGGACCTAGCAATGCCGAACCGACAGGCCGTCGTCGTGGCAACAGCCTGACATCGCCCTTTGCCAAGCCGGTGGCTCTGGACAACAGCAGTATCCCTATTCAGAAGCTGGGCTCTAGTCCCTTGCTTGGCCCAAGCCAGACCGCTCGCAGAACCATGGCTAAACGTGTAGACACTATCAACGAGGGGGAGGTCCACGATACGGTCAGCAGCAGCACCAGTGAAGGCGAGAGCGACGATGACCGCCAACGCCAGAAGCAGAAGACGAGCAAAATCGTCAAGTCTCTCGGCGAGCTTGGCGTCTACTGCTCCGGGGTCAAGTTTCAGGGGTTCGAGTCTGAGAACTGCAAGAAGGCGAATCACATCCTGTCCTTTATGGAAGGCACATTCCGCAAGCACACCAAGGCTACCGAATCCAAGGCCGCCCTCCAGCGGCACAACATGCGCTTCATGATGCGTGTTTACCCACAATTCAACCGAGTTTCGTCCAACAACTTCAACCCTTTGATGTACTGGAGGAAAGGCGTCCAGATGGCGGCTCTGAACTGGCAGACGTTTGACCGCGGCATGCAGTTGAACCAAGCCATGTTCGATGGGGGCACGGATCAGTCCGGCTACGTGTTGAAGCCCTCGCCGATGAGAGAATTCCGCATCCTCCACAGCCCCTTGCCACCGGATGCTGTCGGCAAGCTTGAGCGTGCCAACATGACTTTTACCATCAGTGTCATCTCAGCCCAGCAGCTAATGCGACCTGCTTCACTGCCTCAGAACCGCACGATGGATCCATATGTCGAGGTCGAGATCTTCCATGCCAATGACAAGCGCGACAAGCATGACAGTATGGCGGGTATCCCGATTTTGACCGACACCCCCCTCAAAGTCCATACCCCTGTTGTGTGTGGCAATGGCTTCAATCCCACCTTTGACACAGACTTCCCGTTCAACATCACTACTAAATATCCGGAACTGGTTTTCATCAAGTGGAGCGTGAAGCTCTCTGGTGACGGAGAGACGGTCCATGACCGAAACATCACCCTTGGCACCTATACCGCAAAACTGAGTAACCTCAAACGAGGCTACCGAACTCTGCCGTTGCTAGACTCGAACGGCGACCAGTTCCTCTTTTCGACACTCTTTTGCGGGATCAAAGTTGACCCGGCCACGAGTGTCTACGTCAACCGTGAGGTGCAGGCTGCACCCGTGGGCAAGTTCAAACATGTGCGAACCGTCTTCAGCCGAGCAGCAGCTACAAACAAGAGCGTCATCGACAAAGCAAGCTTTGAAAAGGGCAGCTTTGAAAAGCAACAAGTCGAACGAACGACATACGAGGGCACCTGAATATGAGGTGCAGAAATTCTCTCGTCCTTCCTGTGTACAACAATCGCGTTTCTTCACTGTTTCACCACCGGGCAGCATATACACTCGCTTTTACATCGATCAGAAATCGGCGCAATCAGGGCATCAGCAACTCTTTTGGAAAGGGTATTTGCCAAGTGCATATACCCTCACGGCTTCTCTGAACGACACGTTTCTGGAGCATTTTCTCGGAGTGGCTGGCGTACAGGGAATATTGTTTAATTTTCCTATGGTCTTTTTGGAGAACGACTATAGATGTTCGGACAGCACAGCACAAGGATTCCACGGTTATTCGTCGCCCGCCAAAGTCAGGGTCTTGCACGGAGTCTCTCCCATGTCGCTTGCAAGCACAACTTTCGCCGGGAATTAAGGCCCTTTTTCACAGTTTATGTTAAGCATGCAGAGTGGTGTTTATGGGAATTTCTTTTGGATTTCTTTGGTTACGAAGGCGACGCATGGTTCGCCTCCAGACGCGGCCGGGAGCGATGACTTATACCTCAAGGCACTGGGTGTTTTGTATTGCTGGTTTCTCTATTTGGCATTTGGGGCACCAAACGCGAGGGGCTCCTTGGGGGTTGTTTTACGAGCAATGGAGTTTGACATCTTGGCTTCGGGATGAAAACCGCGTGGTGGCTGGTGCGCCGGGTCGCGAGGCTAGAGGATACAAAACGATACCCTCGAGGCCTTTTCCACGCGCGCGGACAAGGACAGGGCGAACCACTGGCGAAGGCACAACAATCACATCATATCCAGGGATAGCATCATTAGGGAGTTTTTGTTAGGCACGGCACTGGATGGTCTGAGATGGGCCGTGTCGAATTTTATTCATGACAGAAAAACCGTTACCGGCTGTGGTTCCATGTGCTTTGCCTTGAACTTCATGTTGCCTTGCGCTTGTTCCATGGTCTGCAATTGTGACTTGCGGGCCTTTGTCATTGTATTTCTGCTTTCGTGATGATGCCTGCGTATGCTTGGAGGCTCTGTGAAGGGGGGCGATGCCAGAAATTATAAGGAAACGATTATCATCTTTTCCTGCTCGTTGTTTTCACTGGGCCTGGATATTTCCAGGGGCGGTCCTCGTGGGAAACAAGCTTCGGTATTGCACCAGCATCATGCACATGCCTGGCGCATGGCGTTCACTGTGGCCCCGTTTATGAAAATAAGAGATGGCCGGATGCCTAGAAGCAGAAATGACAGAAAAGGGTCACTGTGCAGGTGTGGAAGCTCTTGAAGGAGAACTGAAGTGCACCTATTGCTCGACTGCCATCATCGGAGCAAACAGGCAGCAAACACACATATAGGTCAAGTACTTCAGCCAGCCTGAGAATCGTCTGGGCACCGGGAGCTCTGGTGGACACTTGACCCGGCCCTTCTCAACATATCATCAGCTGGCTTCTTCCCGTGTCGCCAGCCAGCCAGCCACAGGTCAGTTGAGCTAACGGAGGCCAGACCGAGGGGGGGCCTGACAGGAACAGGCTCTGCCAACTTGGCCCAGTCAGCATCATGGCGAAGTCTAGACCACGTCCAGCTGAAAGGAAAGGCCTCCCACGGGCCCGGGCACGGGCACGACCGAGACGGCAGCGGCACACAAATCTCCACGTGGATGCTTGCTTGCCTGCTTACTTGCTGACTTGCTTGCACAAGACGATCGAATGCGCGCGCGCGCCCACGTTTCGGTCCAGCCGCCTCGTCCCAACCTTGGACGACCCGCATTGACCGGTCCCGAAGCTTACCTTGGTCACAGCCTTCTCTCCGCGTCACAGGGCACACGAGGCATCGCTGTATACGAGCACACGAGCCCTGCCTGCATCGGTGACGTCGTGGGCAGCTTTCAACCTGCCAAACCGTCACAGAGAATCTTGGTTCGTCTGTCCACCAGGCCCGTCGAAACCACTGCGCCGGTCGTACAAAGTTTGCGGGGTCGTCATGGCCGTTATCAATCCGAGGTTCTGGGGGCTTGCAGGCTGAACGAGAGGCTGGACCTGGCGGCCAGGCGGCAGTAGTGACAGCGATGGGTGTGAGCCGCGTCGTGTTCGTGTGTTTCGACATGTTGTTGGAGTCTGACAACTCGGCCTCCCAAGTCCCAGGCCCAGGCCTTCGGATACTCACCGGGCCCACGAGGCCAGACTCAACAGCTGGTGCAGTAATTGCAGGTGCCCAGCCATGCATACGTACGCTACGCGAGGAAGACTAAGGACGAGGCCGCCAGCTGGACTAAAGGCATCGTGCGACCAGCCAAGCGCTGCAGGGCGCCCTCTCCGAAAGTCTACATCCTCCGCGTAAAACGCTCGGAACCAATCTCGACAGGCCGCTCCGCCAAAAATATGCAGTCCAGTCGTAATGGCGACAGCTTTAGGCACGTCCTTAGCGCGTCTGGCCACCTGGGCCGCGCAGACGTAATAGTCGGTCAGCAGCGAGGGAGCTGAAGCTGGGCGACCCAGAGGCTTGCGACAGCAGTCGCGACTCGTGAACTCTGCTCTGCTCTGCTCTTTCCTGTTGTCAGTCCAACCCAAGCCACACATCAGCGATTGCGTTCACTGCTCATCCAAGCCACCTCCCGCCTGTGCATGTGCAAACCAGCCGCACCATCGTTTGACAACACGTACAGGCTCGGCCGTCCCGAGGATAGCTCAGCTTCGTTCGAATGTGCTGTGCTTGACCGTTGATGCCTTGTTGTGATCAACAGAATTTGTAATGGGCGAACACAATGTGGAATCTGTTTTCGCACTTACAACTGTGTCAACGATCAATCCGAGGCATATATTTCCCAGCTCTCCTCTCTGACTCGAGACATCAGGAAGTGCAGTGCAATGTCAGGCGGCAATGTTCGGAGTGCCCAACAAGTGGCGAGTCGGATCCGAGGTCAGCTTGGTGTAACCCCCCTTTTCCTTCTTAGCCCAGAGTCGAGACGACTCCTTCATCTCCAAGAAGCTGCATGGCGCAGTGACTCGCGCCACCATTTAGCACGTAAGAGTGCCAGCGTCATCCGCCCAGACCCAGAACCACCAGGCGGCATTTAGACTTTGGTCTAAGCCACGTGGTGTAGACGAGCGAGTAGGCGTCCAGAACATGACTAGAGGACAGCTCCATGTGAGACTCGCTGTAGCGGCGTACACAAGATATTTGGCCTCCCAAACTGGATTATATACGACCAGGGGCCCCCGGCTCGTTTCTTTCAAATTAATCGTCTTATCAAGGCATCTGATAGCTAGTTGAGTATACTGTCATCGATATCATGGCTCCAACCACGCCCGACAAGACTGCCAACACTGGCTGCTTCGCCTCCTTCGGTCTACTCCCCCCTGAGATACGGATCAAGATATGGCACTATTCCATACCAGCCCCACGCTTGGTCGCCATCAGGTCCCCATACCATGGAAAGCAGCAAGCTCTTTTGCCAACTTCACTCGCGGACGTATTGGCGAGCTGCTACGACGACTCGACTACAGAACGGATAAGCTGGCGGTCGGACACCACACCGCCAGCTCTGCTACACGTCAATGCCGAGGCGCGGCACGAAGCCTTGAAGTACTACAGATTAGCTCTTGGAGTCGAGGGATCGAAACCTCAGATCTATATCGATTTCGAGAGAGACACCTTGTTCTTCGGCAATGCCGAGCTCGAGGGGCGCTGTAACTCGTTGTGGGGCAGCACGCCAGACCTTAAATTCGCGCGGCGGTTAGCCATTGTGCCCGAGGGTGCATGGAGGGTTCTGAGGTGGTGGCGGGACTTGGACCTTGACTCGCTTCGGGAACTCGTCTTTGTTCATGGCTCCGAAACGCTCGACTTCACAGCACCTCTCCCGCCGCTCCTGGAAGATGCCGCGGCTCTCGAGCAAGAGGATGTTGACGAAGCGGAAGAGGATGCACGTGCCAAAGACGAAGACGAAGACGGAGACATGGACAGCAAAGACCGCGTGGTCGTGGCTGCTGAAGAAGTCCTGGAGGACACAGCCGAAACCCTGGCAGAACTATCGAAACAAGAAGTCAGCGAAGGATCAAGGGCGACCATACCGGAGCTGGCCATCAGGTCACCTGCGAGCACGACGCCGATGGTGCCAAAAGCGCGGCCAGAGCCGCCTCGTCGCAGACGCTCGGAAGAGATCGATGCTGCTGCGATAAAACGTCAACAAGATGCCAGAGACGAGCTCGCGACGCTGATGATGGCGTTGCCGACTCTGTGGAGCAAAGAGCCGCGCTTCACCACAGCGACGTTTCAGACACCTGTTTCTCTTGTCTCTGCTCAGGTCTGAAAGTCCCGGACCTTGGTTTGGGGGAGTTCGCATTGCGTTGATCACTCATATACCCATTTCATATACCCAATCCCGAATCGGCGTCACTCTTGCCATTAGGTGGCATCCCACTTGAGCGTTGCACATGTCTGAAGTTCAGGCCAGTTACCTTGCAAAGGGCAACCACGGCCGCTTGTACATACAGTTCACTGAATCATATACATACTCCCACCGCAGAGAACGGCATGCTTGCCATGACAACGCTACAAACTCTTGACGCACATTTATCCAAACAAGTAAATGACTTCCGTTGACAATGAATGGAAATAGCATCGTAACTATATTGTATGCCCCCTCCATCATCGGATCGAACAATGTCTCCAAGGAGTCAAGCCCACCTTTCTCACTTTCTCTCACCTCACCACACTAGAGACAAAAAGTCTCACTCCAGGGATACAGACCACTTTCATTAGTTTGCATGTCCAACGCCCCTAACCCCCCCCCCCCCCAACCCAACCTAACCCAACCCAATCCCTCTTGAGTGAAACAAAAAAAAAGTTTCGAATAAAACAGCCCATTTGCCTATTCGGTCGTAGAGGGAAGTGTGTGAGCGATAACGTACCTTGCGGGGGAAGGGGGGGGTGGCAACGCTAAAAGACTGGTATGGAACCAAAATAATCGGAGGTTTGGCCGCGTGGTTTCGAGAGCTAACATTTAATTAGCTAACCGTACGCGCGTAATCTTTTGTGGATGGTGGGCGGGTGAGCACGGCTGGGGCTGGGCTGGGCTGGGCTGAGGCTTAGGTTGTTGGGTGGGTGTTTGAAGGGGGGGGATTTAAAGTGCTAGACTGCACGGCGGTTAGGGGCTTACTGAATGCTTGCTTGCTTGCTTGCTTGCTGCTCCTCCCCGGTCCCGAGGATCGGGGTGCTTTGCTTCGTCTAATATGGGTTCCGTGTATTCTGGATATGGGTAATCTTGGAAAGAGAGATGGGGGGGCAGCGGGTGGAATGATTTAGCGTCGTGATATTTATGCAAAATGCGGAGAACTGATCCCACCAGGGCCTGCTGTTGTGAGATCAGACGAAGTGCGTGTAAGTCTATGCAGGTATACACGGCGCTATTCGCGGCGAGGAACATGTTGTTTCTGGATGCACAGGATCGCGTTGCCTCGACACGATATGTATGCCTAGGTATATGTATTGAGAGAAATCCACCTCTTCACACAAAGCCACATGCTGAATTTCTCTTCTTTTCTCTCTTCCAATCTTGGATACTTTAGAAACATGGAAACTTGAATTGACTGCTCGCTCTAGAAACAAAGTAAAAAATCTGTTCTCACGAAACAATGCCTACACCCCCCTCCCGAGATGATAACAGACGTCAAGCCTCGCTCTAATTTCATAGCCTCGACTGCGATGACAAGTAGGAGTTGCCGAGCTTGAGCATCTCGACGGCCTCTTCGACCATCTCCTTTACAATGACTCCGGCGGGCTGGACGCTGGTGATGGAGCCAGCGACCTGGCCCATGAGATGGGGCGGGTCGATGTCGTTGCCCTGGTCAATGTCGTACTCGATGGGCACGATGCCCTTGCTGGTGAGCTCCTTGATCTTGTCGGGCTGGGCGTGCCACTTTGCCACCCACTCGTTGGTGCGCATGCGCAAGGGGCGGCCGGACAGGACGAGGGTGCGCTCGGTGGCGTCCCAGTCGGCCGTGACGACGCTCTGCTTGTGCTGCTCGGCGCAGTTTGCCTCGACCGACGCGACGAACCGCGTGCCCACCCACACGCCCGCGGCGCCCTGCATGAGCGACGACGCGAGCGAGCGGCCGTTGTAGATGCCCCCCGCGGCGACCACCAGCGCGGGCGAGCCCTTGAGCATGGGCGGCTTGTACTGCCTGGCGACGTCGACGACGGCCGGGATCAGCACCGAGTTGGCAATGTTGCCCGTGTGCCCTCCCCCTTCCCCGCCCTGGGGGCACACCATGTCGACGCCCAGGTCGAGCGCCTTCTTCGCGTGCTTGGGGTGCCCGACCATGTTCATAATGTAGATGCCCGCGTCGTGGAGGCGCTTGATGACGTGCGGCGGGGGAACCCCCACGGCGCAGACAAACAGCCTCGCCCCGCTGTCAATCGTAATGTCGATGAGCTCGTCCAGCTTGCCCTTTGTGTAGTCGTGGTTCGTCTTGCGCGCGCTCCCGCCGACCTGCGGCAGCGCCAGGTCCACCCCGAACGGCAGGTCCGGCGACTTGAAGTTGGCCTTCATCTCGGCAACGATCTCGCGCAGCTGCTCGGGCGTGTACATGAAGCCCCCGATGACGCCCAGGCCGCCCGCGTTGGACACGGCCGCGGCGAGCAGGCCGCCCGAGGTGCGCGCCATGCCCGCCAGGACAATGGGGTGCTGGATGCCCAGCAGCGTCGTCAGGGGCGTCGTGATGGGGCCTTTGGTCGCCATAGTGAAAGAGGAGGGGACGAGACGACGACGGCGGCCCGTGTGTGTATATGTGGGAAGTGAACGAGGTTTGGTGGTGGTGGTAGATAGTAATGGTCGGATAATGGGGATGCGGAGAGGAAAGTAGGAAGCAGCGAAGGTAAAGGTCTGTTTTGTTGATGGTGTTCTTGCTGTTGTTATTACAGAGTATTATGTATGTGCTCCTCGGCTCGACACACACACACACAGAGACCGGCCAGAAGGTGCCGACGGCCCCTTGCTCGCTGCAGGGCTGTAGATATTGGCGGCGATGCTGCTGATTATCTCGGCGACGGGGCTGGGATGCTGTTTCTTGGGGAAGGTCAAGTCGGGAGCCCGGCGTGTGTCGCCTCCCCCGAGTGGGGTTGGCCCGGGGCAGTTCCCACCCCCATGCGGGGAGGCCCACATGCCGAGGCTCGAGCTCGAGGCGTCCCCTGCATTACCACTTGCTGCGCGCACTTTGCTCCGCTCCGTGCCCTGTACGCAATAGCCACCCGCACTCGAGCGTAATTCGACGCAAAGACAACCATTGCGAAGCACGAACCGTGGAGCAGGAGTCGTGTTTCCTTTGCGAGATTCGCATCGGCCAGAATGAGCCCAAGGGCACGAGTGAGGAAGCCCCATGATCGAGCCATGTACAAGTTGTCAATCAGGACAGTCATGACCAAGCGCTGCCATTAAATCTCTTGTCATTCGACAGTCGGCTCTCGTCGGGCTCGCCAAGATCCTGGGGCACCAAACTAGTTGCGCCCATGGTGCCAGCCGTGCACCAGAGAGGCTGGACCCCTGCTCAGCTTAGCTGGAGCTGCCGATGGGCCAGCCGAGGCAGCCCTACCAACTCCGCCGCAACCAGCCTGCTTTGCGAGCACACGCCGTGCTCCCTTGACGGGCAGCATAGGCTAACAAGTCCGGAACAAGCGACCAGGTCACGGTCATAATCTTTTCCTGACAATAATGGATCAGGAGACCCAGTCTATTCTGACGCAGTGGCCTCGCCACACAATAGGCACAAAGATTGGTTACTAATCGGGTATATATGTACAAACAATGCAAGGTATGCTACCGAAAGTACGGCAGCCGCGCTGGCACAAACTCACTCGACCCCGGCCTGTCCTCCTCCTTGGGTGGTGCGCTCTCCGGCGGCACCGCGTCTGTATGCCTGTGCGACCCGACGCCACGGTCCGCCTCGGCCGCATGAGCAGCAGCAGGTGGCGGCGACGTACTCCGGCCAATTGTCTCCACCACGGCCCGTTCCGGTGCCGGTATCTCCCCGACCTTGACCATCTCCGTCCTCGCCTCAGGCACAGATTCTATCGTCAGATCCTCGCGGCTCAGGCCCCTGCGGAGCGCAAGCTGTGCTGCTGCATGTCTCTTCTGCTCAATCATCTGCGCCTCTTCCTTCTCCAGGGTCTGCTCTTCTTGCTGCAAGTCGGCAAGCGATGGTATCGACGCGACCATGGGACTTCGTGTGTCCGAGCTGAAACTGGGATGCGATCGTATCGATGGTCTTGTGTGGACAGAGTCGATGGTCGTTCTCGAGACGGTTCGATGCATTTTGCCTGCCACCCGTTTCCCTTTACTGCTCCTCGTCTTGTTGCTGGCTCGGTCATCAATATGGCCAAGCACGGACGCCAGATCGTCGTCCAGTGGTACTGCGTCCTCTTCGCCCTCTCCGTCGCTGGGAAACAGGTCGCCTCTTGACCGGTACGAGTCGCTCGTATCACCACTCCCAGTCGTCCCACTGCGTTTTCTTGATGGCATGATGACGTGTTCTGCAAGGAACTCTTCATCACTCTCGAGCTCAACCCCGTCTTGGTCAGCCGGACCTTCAGCAGAGCCAAGCAGTGGCTCCCGCTCGCCTTCGAACTCATGTTTAAACGCGCCGGGGTGCTCTTGCAGATTGGCCGCACTCGGCTTGTATCGTAACGTGCCGCCTATCTTGAACGGCAGCCGTCCCAGAAACCCAATGGCCGAAGTGCTGGGTATCACCGTAGGATCGTCTTTAAGAGTGTCCGTGTTGCGCACGCCGCCACCACTGGGATTTCCCCTCGTCCCGTAGCTCATCCCTCGTTGTTTGGATCTCGGCTGGTCCACTATCTCGCCGCCAGAAGTCCTATGACGCTTGCCCGTGCCTGCTAGCAGGCGGTCCCAGTCCTCATTCCTCCACCCGCGCAGGATCCCACCACCTTGCTCGTCGCTATAGAGATCCTGGTCCCAATCGTCGTAGAAGTCAAAACTGAACTCGGCGTCCCCGCGCGAATGCCGCCCTTCCCGGGCTCGACGCGCGCGTTCCTCGCGATCGCCAAAGCATGTCGCAACGCAGCCTCCACATGCGTCCGAGATGGAATCGAAACACGGGTTGATGTAGGTATGGCCGAAGCTCCAGATACCAGCCGCTGCATTCTCCGTCACCGTCTCGGTCGTGTGTGAAATCTGGTTCCATCGCTGCCGAAGGCGGGGATCCTCGAGGAATGCCATGTTGTGAGGGCACGAGCAGGACGCTCGGGCAAGTTCATTCAGTAATTGAGACGGAAGCGCTGAAGAGCGGCAGGACTCGAGGTGTTGTCTTTTGGGGCCAAGATGGATTTGCGAGCGCACAGGCGACTGTTGCTGGTATGCCTCCCGTTGCACTTTGCAGCAGGCAGGACCTTGATGCTGGCTAGTGAATCAAGCCAGCAAGCGCAGGAGATGCTCGCGCATCTGCCATGGGCAGGATACTTGATCTCAAGGTCGCTGGCGATACTGGATAGACGGCGCCAGGCCGTCCGGCACGAGATGGGAATGCAGCGAGGTGAGGGCTTGTTGTCGAAAAGCTAGAGCTTGCGAAAGGGTTGGGCCGTCGTAGTGAGTGAGATGTCGAGATTGACTTGGACGCGGCGACGATGCGAGCTGCGGGGCTTGGGGCGGATGGGACGTCCAAGGGGACAAGAGTGTCGTCGCGGGTTAGAGGCTGGGAGTCGGGTGCGATGAGACGGGCGAGGGAGAAGTGGTTGTTGAGGAGCAGCTGCGACAACGGGGTTGAGGCCGGGGGTGGATGAGAGCCCTGGAGTGTCGAGGGACCAGGCGGTTCCCAAGGGTTGCATGCATACACGCCAGTCAGCGGCAGTCGAGGGGGGCTTGCGGCTGCAGGTCAAAATCTGGTGACGGGTCAATGACTGCACCCTGACCAGACCCCAGCAAAGACAACACTGGTACCAGGGCACGATGGCGGTAGCTGCACAAGATGGCGAGCTCATTCCCTACTGCAGTCGCTCGACGGCCAAGAGCGCTGATGAGTCTCGCGTGTGCTTTGCAATATTCTTCCATACCGGCACTGCCAGACATATTCTGCAGAGATGATGCAATGAGGTCATGGAGGGCGCTTGGGCGAGTTAGTGGTGTGCTAGCCCTGACTCGCCTGGCCTGGTCCTTCCAGCCGACGGGTGGACTGAACGCCGCCAGGAGTCACGACAAGACTAATTACGTGAGCGACAGAAGGAGTCACGATTCACAATGGCCAACCCGATGTCTGTTTGCGTCCCCCAGCCCTGGCTCGACCTTGTCGTGCTGCAAGTGTCTTTCTGGAAGCACATGAAAAGAAATGGTGCTGCTTGTTGGCTGCGCCGCACAGTCAATTGAATCGAGCTGTGTGAGCCAGAAACTGCAAACACCCGACCATGTGATAGATTGCATGGGACACTGCGTAGATTCTGTACTTATTATCCCTTTGCGCAGGCGAATCTACATACTATGTAGTTCTGACACTGTCGTTGATGCCGTCCGGCTTGGGCAATCACCCAGCAGCACACAGAGGCCAATCCATTGCCAGAAAAGTGGATGCGGCCGAGACCCCTGCTTGTCTGCCCTGCGAGATGCTGCCGCCCAAACAGCTGCCGTTCGTCAAGCAAGCGCCTCTGCGACAAACACAGCTCTCCTGCTCAACCACGCATCACGCCCTTCCCGCCGGCGCAACGCCCTCCTCTCGACGACAGTCCTGACGGACCGCTGCACCCTTCCCCCCTTCATCCCTGAAACGAGCCACATCACGGCGTCCGTCGCGTCCTCCGCTGCGCGCCTTCTCCTGTCGAGCTCCCCCAGTCCGAAGCACCAGTCGCGACAATCTTCGAGCTACCCGCCCCGCCCATTTCACGCGACTCTGGCGTCAGTCGCCAGCACCTTTCAACACAACCATTCTCTATCGCTTCAATCCGCGCGAGTCGTTCAATCCCGAACCAATGTCAGCGGCCGTGTCCCTCGGCGATGTTTGATGCCCAGCGGCCTGGTGGTGGAGGGTTCGGCGGAGCCACCACCACTCCTGCTAACCGTAAGTCAACCTCTCCTTACAATATGCAATGTTGGGAGACCAACCATGGGTCGTTATGGACGAGGGACTGCGATACTGTGCGTGGGGATGGATGACACGGGGCGAGTCATCACGCCGTCTTGCAGCCTTGCCAGAGGCATGTAGGAGGATGACACAACCTGTCGCTTTGGCCGGATCGCACAAATCAGCAACGCCGAGGCGCCCGAGACGGTCATACTTGGTGTCAAGCTTCCAACCTCGTGGCGCTCGAGGCGCGTTGAAAAGGCGGCTTGCGTCGCCGACCGGCCAGGCTCAGGGCTATTCTCGAATTGATACATGGTGACGAACAATACCAATGTCTCCCTTGAAACCACCGAATCCCATTCTCGGAAGCTCCTGCCTGGCGGTGAGCCGTAATAGGCTCCGACAGCATTTGGCATGAAGGTATATTGCCTACTGATCATAATGTGTAGCATTTGGCCAGCTGTCATCCGGCCCGAGCCAAGCGGTGAACCCGTTTGCGAGCGCAAAAACCAACAGTGTTGCCAGCAACCCATTCGCAAAAGCGCAACCGACGGCAACCACAATCACGCCAGCAGCAGCAGGCTCCAACCCCTTTTCAGGTCAAGCGAAACCTTCGAATCCGTTTGGCGCAATATCGAATGCGCAACCAAGCCCGCAACCCTTTGCAGCCGCGAATGCCCCAACAGCGAATGCCAGCCCATTCAGCAGTACACCGTCCCAGTCACAGACAAACGGATCTTCAAATCCACCATTTGCAAGGCCCGCATGGCCAAATGTATCACAAGCGATAGGAAAGAGGAAAGGCAACCCTGTCGGGCAGAGCGAACCAAAGTTCTCGCGAAACTCTCCTGATCCTCATGTCGCATCCAATCGACATACCCCGGCCGTACGAGGCGGTAGAGCGCAGCATGGCGCGACAAGACCACAGCAGCCGCGGGCGCCAATCCGTCCACCGACAGAGAAGGATTCCGATCTGGCCGTCAAGGTCTATGCAGCTCTCGCCAAGGACAACATCAGACCGCCACAGTGGCCGGCGAACCCTGGAAGTAGTGCTCAGAGAAAGGCTGCCGAGAACTTTCGGGAGGCATATATCAGCTACCGCGAGAAAGCACGAAAATGCCTTATCAAAGCAAACCTGATCGATGATCCCGACAAGCGACGAGCACTGTCAGACGCTCTTGAGTTTAAGGGAATTTGCGAAGACATGTGTCCGGACTGGGAGCGAATCACTCGAATCATACAGCATGACGTGAAGCGTGAGGAACGGGAAGAGATCAATGGGGAGAGCCAGGCAAACATCGAACTCATGGTCACCCGACATGCGCGCTCGTCGGCGGGCCAGGATGCTCCGTTACCAATGGACGTACGCTCGCCAGGCGCACTCAGACGGACCTTGAACTACATGATCGACGAGCTCATACCCGAGGATCATCTACTACCAGCACGACACAACTTCTTATGGGACCGAACGCGAGCCATCCGCAAGGACTTCATCTACCAAGAATATGCCATGGGACACGACGAGATGAAGGACTATATCTACTGCCTGGAAACCATCGCCCGATTCCACGTCACTGCTCTGCATCTCCTCACACAACCTGACTTTGCCGGGAAGGACTTCTCCGCGCAGCAGGAGAACGAGCAACTGGAGAAGACGTTGATATCGCTCATGCAGGCGTACGACGACTGTGCAAAGCAAGGAATCGAGTGTGAGCATGAAGCTGACTTTCGTAGCTACTACATCATCGTCATGGCCGATAATCCTGCTTGGATGGACGTCGTGCAGAGCTTCGCTGCCCGATTTTGGAACGATTCAGACTCAATCAGGACAGCATCGATACTAGTGGAGTCGCTCAAAAACGTCTGGGACATGCAAGGGCCGTTGATGCCACCTGGGACGAGCGAAATGGCGTTGCCCATCATTTCTGCCTTCTTCGACATTGTCTCCAGCCCGGCAATCTCATACACGATGGCGTGCTTCGCTGAAATCCATTTTCCAAAGGTCAGGCGGTTGATGCTGAAGATCTTGCGGGAAGCATACTGGCGGCCAAAGACTGGTCCAACCGACTTGACCCCGGCAGTCATCCAGAGACAGCTGCGACTTGACTCTGAAGAAGAAGCCATCGAGTTTGCAAAGAGCCAAGGCTTCACATTTGGCTTCGCAAATGGCCATATGTACGCCGTCAACAATGCACGGCAGGCCCTCTCTGAGGACAAGCCACCACGCATGTTTTCGAAGAGTCTTGTAGAGCGAAAACGTGGGAACCACACCCTTGCCGAGGTGATATACACAACATTCTACGAGGAGCCTGCAAGCACAAAGCAGGCTTCTGCCAAGAACGACAGCCTCTTCGTCGACGATTCATCTGATGTCCAACTTGGAACAGATAGCCCGGTCCTGAAGCCGTTTGACGCTACAACAAGCGGCTCCGGAGCACGTTCGCCTTTCGCGTTGCCATCCCCAGCTGCGCAAGAAGTGCCGCCAAATTCCACGACTTCATCAAGACCCTCAATGTTCCCAACCCCTCATTCCCAAGCGGTCCCAACTTCCGAGAAACAGAATTTCTTTTCGACACTGCCGCCGCCAAATACCGACCAAGCAAGCAACAAGACCACTTTCGCCTCCACAGCTGGCTTTGCTGAAGCTTCAGTAAAGCCAGCTGTTAAGTCCTTTATGCCGAACATTGCAAGTGCCAGCCCTGCAACGGCTTCTAGCAATCTTCCCAGTGGTAAGACTATCACGGTCGAAGCAGAGAAGTCAAACCAAGCACCCGCGCCACCTAAGCCGGGTGGCTTCAACTTCTCGTCGGCCCAGAACCCACCGTCCTCTACTTCGCCAAGCATCTTTGACAAGCCAACATCATCCGCTCTGCCTGGAGCCGCTTCCTCTGCCACAACCGGTTTCGTCTTTCCGGGCTCCGGACCTGCTGAAAGTCTTAAACCGACGCCACTTTTCCCGACAACCTCCGAGCCGAAACCAAATGCTCCGTCATTTGTATTCCCGCCACCCTCCACAACCGCACCGAAATCCGCACCATTCACAGCCGGTAGGTCCATTTCATTTGAGGCTTGTTTGGTTCTAGGCCAGAGATATTGTGATTCCTTTGGTTCAACTTTGAGCATACGCTGCAAAATCTAAATTTCCAAGTGCTAAACATTTCCAGGAACGGATCTATCTGCGACAACCATAACGGCTACGGATGGGTCTAAACGGCCCACGCAAAGCTCTACTCCCAAGCAACCAGATCTGTTTGGCCCCCATTCAACCAAGGCGCCGAGCTTGCAGCACAATGAGACGAGTCGTATGCCTCCGAAACCCAAGAAGGACCCCATGGATCTTCTTACCAGATGGTATGTCTGTGCAGATCGTGGGCTGATGGAAGAACATCTTGAGGAATGGATGCTTGAAAGCATCCTGCAAGGCACATGGAATGACTTCGAAGAGGCAGAGTTGGAGAGGATAAGGAAAGAGGAGGATGACAAGTCATGGGCTGAGGCACGGAAGTTTCGCGAATACAGTCTAGGAGTGACTTACTTCTACCGGTGGCTCGACAACTTTCGCAAGCGGAGGGCCGTCAAGCGTATTCAGTTGGAAAAGGAGAAGGCGCGAGAGTGGAACTTGCCCGAAAACCGGGCGAAGCGCGAGACAGCGGCCCGTGCCATCAAGGAGAAGAGTATGCGGGAAAGTAAAAAGCTCTTGGTGCAGAAGACGTCACAACCGGACCTCAACCGACAACACAGGTCGTCATTGCCGACGGCCGTTGAGCCCAGACCACGGAGGGACAGTCTTGAAGAGGCCTTGCTTGTCCCGCCAGCCAAGAAGGTTGCAGCCAGAGACGCTGCTCCTGAAATGCCAGTCTCCGAACAGCCATCCAATAGCGACGATCCACTGCCAGGCGAGCGCAACTTGCTACGATTCGAGAACCAACGACGCAGAAAGCGAGGTCTTCAACCATTGAGGAGATATCCGGAAGCCGGTAAAACATATAAAGAAGGGTCGAAAAGCGCGATGCTCAAGGCCCTGTCCAGTGGTACGGGACGCGACACCATGTCCCTTTCCACAACCAGCTTGCGCAACTCGACATTCAGCTCCAGCTACCGGTCCAGCCTAGGTTTCAACGGCTCTCGCGTTACCAAGACTACGTCCCGAGTCAGCGACCCGTACTGGAAGCTCAAGGCGAACGGCCTCGTGCAAATGCCGAACGGGGAATATTTGCACGAGAGCCTCGCTATTCCCATGCTCGAGGACGGCCGCCGGTTTCCTGGGATAGGCGATTATGGAGTTTCGGGAAGCTCGCGGGCGAGCCTGAGCCAGTCTGATGTTGGCAGCATCGATATACCGGAATTCTCCCCACCGCCAGTCGCGCAAGACGAGCAAGAAGCTGGGAGCGGCGTTCTGACTCGACGACGATCACGCGTAAGCATGTCTCCTGCTGCTGCGAGCATCTCAAGATATAGCCAACCATATCAACATCTTCGCCGACAAAGTGAGCAGCGTCAAGGATCTCTCAGTCTCTCGAGGGAACGCAAGCGCGGATACGACCACATTGATGACGACCACGACTACAATGATAAGGCCGCCCACCGTCAATCGGGCGCCTTTGCCGAAATCGACTCCGGCCGCGAGGGTAGTCTGAGTGTCGGCGGCGGAAGCTTTCACAAGCGCGCTAGGAGTGGTGCTCGTGGGGTGGCTGCCACTTCAAACATCGTCTCTGCCGCTGCTGCTGTTGCCGCGTCACCTTCTGGGGCAGCCGCGGCAGATACGCAGTCCGTAGGGTCTTCAGGCGACTCTGATTTCCTCGCGAGCATCGATCGCCTGCTGCGCGACGTCCAGGATGCAGGACGGACGCTTTCATAGTAACGCTCACTGCTGGCAAGTTTGGGGGTAGACCTGCTGTGCCTGTTTGTAGATTTTGATCTGAGAGCTCACTCACCGGATTATGTGGGGCCTTTTTGTAGAATTTGGATCACGGAGCGGCTTGCAACAAAGGGGGCTTTTGGCCTGGCATATATTGTTAGAAACATGAGAACATTGACAGTACGATACACACATGATCGATCGCAAGCCGGGTGGTCAGATGAAAAGCCCCCGTCGGGGGATCGGAGCAAAAGCAAGGGCAACAAACCAGGCCCTGGAAGACATGAATTGTAAATTTGCATTGCGAACATCAGGTGGCTGCATCTAGTTTACCACGGTTGCATTTTCTCGGCCCTGAGGCTGGATAGGAAGTTTTTTATATACACAAAACAGCAGCATGACGCAGTAAAGCACGAGACGCGAGTGACCTCTTTGATACGGTTTTTTTTTTGGTCTTCTTGTCTTCGATCTAAACATTTCGGGACTGGAACGGGTTTTGTGCGCGGCAAAGTGTTCAGGTTGGGTGTTGTGAAAGTCCAGACCCGGGGAGTGCTCCCGGCTCTGCTTTTCTTAGTATTCAGGAAGCGATTGTTAGGAGGTAATGCCATGTTTTAAAAGTGCCAGAATTGTCTGTCAGGCAAGCGGGAGCACTGAAGGAGAGCACTGGAGGATACCGACTTCGCATAGTCGTCTGGCTTGACGATCCGGCTTCGCCATCGCCCCAAAAGCCGAGTCCGGAAACATTACTACATTACCTCCTCGCTTTGTCTGGGAGCAGGGTAATGAAGAGGGACATACACAATGCCTCGAGGACCTCACGGCTTTCCATGTTGGCCACATTTTCCAATTTGGTGGGGAGTTCTACGCCCAACCGCCCGACCGACCTCCGTGTCCTCCAAGGATGACGCCGCGGGGCCGGGAGCCGGCTGGCTCGGCGTGCGTATCCGGACGAGCGAGGTGTATGACAGCAGCTGTTGTACGCCAATGGGCTGATACCTCCTCCTACTACGACTAGACTAGTACACCTGAAGAAAGGGGCTCCGCATATGACATGGGCAATGATGTCAAACGCGTGGATTTAATCCTCTGGATCGCGGAGCCCCAAAGTCGTCCCAACTCCACAGTCGGCGAATTTGTGGACACGCGCTACGGGGTTGAGATCGCGGACAGACCCTTTTTTTCATCTCTTGATTTTGCTCGTGGGGGCGAATTCGTCTTCGGCAACAATGCCTGCTGTGCTACATTATGTTGGTGCGGCACAGTAGTAGGTCGACTGTGTAAGTCCTGTTGGTGACGGAGGACCCGTGCCTCATTGCGCTCTACTACAATCTTCGATGCCTAGTATTGGGATTCGGAAAACAAGAGTGCTCCGAGCCTCCGAACCCCAAAGCTCCCTCGCTGAGCAATGCATCCAAGTTTCTGACAGATGCATGTGCCGCCCATGAGACCGAGGCAAGCAGGTTTCAGCAGAGGCACTGTCGATCCTGATAGGACTGCCGAGGCAAATTATGCCTTGCTGGATGCGTTCATGGCCTGGCCGTTGAAACGCTTGCCTGTGGCAGCAGCAATCGCAAGGGATACGGATGGACAAATGCACGAACAGCTGGAGGCATGTGCCTGTGATGCGTGTGGCGCACGTCACGTCACACCCTTTCCGTTGCCTCGTCTGGTTTTTGTTCCGCGTCGCGCTGGTCGGCAAATGGCGGCCAAGACCAGGGCCAGGGGGGCCCAGGGGTGGGCCGGCGGGGCGGAGATATTGCTCGCGCCAGAGACAGAGACAGTGACGTCACAAGCAGCATGCTGAGGAAATAATCTTCGGATCCCCTGCGAAACATGGTTGGCTTTTGGCGATGCGGAAGATTTGCACGACAATCCGCCTGCGAGGGAAGAAAAGAGTCAAACTTTGGCACAGGCGTAGAGAAACCTCGATACCACACACTGGAGGGATGTGTGTACAAGCACGTATCTGTTGTAGTGACACAAGCCAGCAAGAAGCTCGTGCACAGACGAAAGCCTGCCGCTAGTCAGTCGAGGGCCCGCCAGGTTTGGCAATCGGGCACTCTCAAAGAGGCATGCCGGGGGACTACTGCCAGGGTGGCCGCATCGCACTGCAGCGGTGGTGGTGGCTCGAACAGCTGGCCGGCGGCCACGCATGGGATGAGCAACATGTGCTCCATTCCCGATTAGCTCGTGTGGACACCATAGCTTAAAATACTTACCAAGGTGTCGAATAGCGGCGATCAGGCGGGCCGACTGACGGCTCGCTCGTTTCTGCTCTGATCTTCGCGTGTCTATCAGCACCACGTCGTTCACCATGTAGTGGTTCACCATTGTGCCCTTGGACAACGATCAGCCTCGTAGCCACTGCTTGTCGGAGCATTCCAGCTGTGGTCGGGCATCGCCCCGATGACCAGCAGGCGAGAAGGACGGGCGACCCTTCTTCGTCGAGACTCTCGGTGCAACTCGAGCCTGGCGTCCCTAGGCGGTTCCAGGCCAGCCAGCCGGCCACCATAGTTGGCCCGGCCCCCTTGGTGTTGCATTGGGCAGTGCACTCCGTCCGTCCGTATCGCTCAGGGTCTAGAATCGGTACTGCAGGGTGCCTGTCAGATGAGCTCTGGGCTGGGTGGTTGTGCTTGGCCTTGAGGACCCCCACACCCAGTCGCGCAATGATCGTCCACGGGCGCGGGTGTCGAGTGGTGGATTGTGCCTGTCCTGGCGGCTCAAGGGCTTGCTGCTGTGCTTGATTGCTGCCGTCCGAGACAGTGGGACACGAACCCATGGGCGCCCCTGCATTGTGGCTTACCGGCGTGCGCCAATCTGCACTGGCGTCGTCACCTGTGGGCCCCCTCCCCCCCTGGCCGCTGGCGATAATGCTGCGCGACACTTGCTGCTGCGCTGCGGGCACCCTAGGGCGGTGCCGCCAGCGTCATTCGCGAGGGGCATTTCTCGATCTGATCCTCACGAAGTTCCAGACAGGCGGAGAGCAGCGGATACTGCCAGCTAATTAAGGCCAGTGGCTCGGGCCGGGGGCCATGATGTGGTTCGTCGTCATGAGCACAGTGGGCGACTTAATAGGGACTGGAGCTGGACTAACGAGTCTTGAGTTTGGTGTCGGTGTCTCGCGCAGAGGGCAAAGCCTTGAGTCTGCTGCGTCAAGTAGGGCTGCTACTAAACTACAACTACTTTGGAGCTAGACAGATCTGGTCAGCGGCAGTCGCGCGTGGTGGGTGGGTGGGTGAGTGTGTTGCACCCAACCGACTTGCACCCTTGGCTATCAAATTTTTCAAGCCGGAGGCGACATGATTCGACCCAAGCAGGCTGTTCAGAGCTGAGAGCAGCACCTTTCCCTCTGGACTTGTCCTTGGACGCGCACCACCATCTCTTCTCCCTGGACCGCCTGGCAGAATTCCCGTCACAAGCATCATCAGGGGCCTCTCTATATCCACACCTGCCTTGACGTCTCCTTCCGTCGAGCCACGCCGGCCCCGCCGCCCATTATCTCAAGCCCTGCAAGCCACCCGGGCCCGCTTGCCGCCGCCATTGCGTGACCACGGTCCTACAGGTTCTTGAAAAGGTTGTCCAGAGGCAGACTCGAAACCTCGGGGGATTCAGGGAAATCACATTATCATTGGCCTTGACGTGTCAATGTTCCTTGCCACCAGCGCCGTCTTTGCTGCATAGTCGCCGCCCGCCTCAACGGTTGGCAACCCGTCGTGGACAGGTCCTGAGAGGGCAGCCAGTTCCGTCTCGTCCCCGGCCAGCTGTGGCATCGGAACCACTCTGATAACTGGGCCTGGTTTCGAAACAGCAGGACAAGCCGCCGATCGTAGACGCGGCTGCATTGCGATCCATCCCTCTGCTCAATCGACGCCTGCCCATTGGCGTCACGGCGCTCCGGCTCGCACGTCCCACCTGCAGGGCAGCCCACCATCACACCCGTGCTGCTCGACAAACTCCATATTTCCCACATTTCCAGCGGTCTCGACAGCCTCCCTGTAGTCCCTGTGCGTCCAGCTCCCATATATCTCGGACGCCCCTGAGGGTTGCTCTCACGGATCGGCACAATTAAGCTATTTCCCACCCTCTACACCTCTGTCCCATCTTTTGATACCACATCTCACCGTGTCGACTCATTTCGGGATCAGCAACCACTGCCCTCACCCTCGCTTTTCTCTCGACCCTTGCATATCATCGTTTCGCGCCGGTCGCGAGTGTCTACCGGTCCACCACCCAGTCATTACAGCTTTCACGGTTCACACTGCGGTGTCTGATACATGATCTGCCGTCGTCTACGCTAGAGGCTGCCAGACGCTTCAGCACTTTCTGAACTTCTCGGACAAGCAGCAACCGAGCGTGCTTCCATCATGTCCACGCCCGAGCAAACGGAGGAGAAGGGCGGCGGGTCTCCGACCCTCACTCACGCCGCCACAGTGTCAGAGAGCGACCTCGAGAAGTTCCCTCCTCACAATGAGCGACACAACCATCTGCTCCAGATCCCGACCCATCCAGACCGTTTTCCTGCCAACTCATTCCTGTCTCCGAACCGAGACCACACCAGGGAGCAAGCCACCCGCCTCAATGACGACCTCATGCTCCTTCAAGCCGAGCGTGCTGTGAGCGAACAGGAGGGCAGCGAGTTGCGCCGTTCTGTGTCTAGAGTCCGCAGCGGTCAGCCAGAAGAGGACGTCTTCAATCAACCCGCAGCGCCGACTGCCGTGGCCATTCCAGTCGAAGCAGACAACCGTGCCCACAAGATCGTGGATGGAGTCAAAGGCCTTCCTCGATTTGTTCGCTACTTCTTCTACTGCTTGCCAGTGGCGGGTATCCTACTCGTCCCTGTGCTTCTTGGATATTTCCAGGACGACGACAAGCAAACTGTCATCGGGGGTCCTGGCGGTGTTCCTCTGCTGTGGTTTGGCATATGGTTGGAGGTCGTGTGGCTCTCTCTCTGGGCTGCACGTATCTTCACCTCGATCCTCCCATTTGTCCTGAAGGGCTTTGCTTTGGCATTTGGGGCTGGATCATCGAATCAGTGGAAGGACATGGGTCGCCAGATTGAGCTTCACTTCGCCCTCTTCTTGTGGATGCTCGCAGTGTTGATCTCCTTCTGGCCCACCTTCAACAACCACAAAGTGCCTGCCTCCGAAGAGGAGAGCCCCGGGAACCCCTTCCCGGAGGTCGAATGGATGAACACTGTGAACAAGGTCATTATTTCCATCTTCGTTCTTTCAGTCATGAACTTTGTGGAAAAGATCATCATCCAGTGGATTGCCATGTCATTCCACACACGCACGTATATGACTCGCATTGAGGAGAACAAGCAGAGTATTGCGTAAGTTTCCTGTGGAACGAAGCTTGAGCGCTTACTTCGTTTACTAACTCGTGCTAGATATCTCGTTCACCTGTATGAGCACTCCAAGGATCGCCTCGTCTCGGAAGCTTCCGTCATGCATACGGATGGCGCGACTGCTTCTGGAGCTTGGACGCCCATGGCTGCGATCCAAAACAATGCCCGTGAGACTGCGGCCATTGTAGGAGACGCTGCCAAACGCATGGCAGGAGACTTTACTGGACGCAAGGTCAAGCTCAGCAACCACCCACGAAAGGTAGTTACCGAGTTGCTGCGGTCGACCCAATCTGCTCAGGTCCTGGCACGACGACTATTCCGTACCTACGCTCCTGACGAGGAGGCGCTCCTGCGGCCTCATGACCTTCGACCGGCTTTCCCCTCCGATGAGGATGCGGAGGCGGCGTTCTCCATCTTTGATCGCGATCTTAATGGCGACGTCTCGATGGAAGAGCTCGAGGCCTTTTGCGATGAGGTGCATCGCGAGAAGAAAGCGATCGCCGCCTCTCTCAAGGACCTGGACAGCGTCGTCCGCAAGCTTGACCGCGTCTTCTTCGTCATCATCTTCATCATTGCGGTCATCGTCTTGATTTCGATCGTCTCAGCTTCTGCTGCTGCTGCTCTTGCATCCCTTGGCACGGCTGTGCTCGGTCTCGCCTGGGTGTTGCAAGCCACAGCGCAAGAGTTCCTGCAGTCCATTATCTTCGTCTTCGTCAAGCATCCGTTTGATGTTGGTGACCGCATCACAGTCTACGGCAACACAGGTGCCTTGGGCAGAGGAGATGATTACTACATCACCGAGATCTCCCTTCTTTACACCGAGTTCAAGAAGATGGAAGGACACATTGTGCAGGCTCCCAACTCACTGCTCAACACGCTGTTTATTCTCAACCACCGCCGCAGTGGAGCTCTTGCTGATGTGTTTGAGCTGACTATGAAGTACGGCACTCCGTCCAGCGTGATTAAGGAGCTCGAGGCGCGCATGACAGAGTTCGTTCTTGACAACAAGCGCGACTACACAAGCAAGATTATCACCGAGGTTCGGAACTTCGAGGATGCCTTGAGGATGAGAGTCAACTTTATTTGCTTCCACAAGACAAGCTACCAGAACGAGCTTCTCCGCCTGACGCGACACAACAAATTCGCGATTGAGCTCATGAACCAGATGGTTGATCTGGGTATTGAACAACCTCGCCAGCAAATACAGATCTCTGGCCGAGACTACCCTGTTTACCAGTCCAACATCCAACCTCCCACATATGAGGAGCAGCAGCAGAACAACACTGTTGACCCATCCATGCTTGCTGCTACCCGCCGTCGAGCCGGTAGCACCACTGCATCCGATACAGGTGACATGTACCAGGACGTCTACGTTGCCCGCAGGCAGAGCACGGCCAGGTACCAGCACATGCCTCCGCGGATCACTGAGGAAAGTCCAACACCAAACGCGAGCGCTCTACACCTAGATCGCATGTCAAGCCGCGGCACACAGCAAAGCCACGGCAATGCCAGCAACACCTCCAATTTCTTCAGACGCAGAGACACAGTTCGCCAGAGTCACGAGCGTGATCAGAACAGTATGGTCTAGCCGATGTCTCCGTCTGAATGCATGGAGCACACTCGGGCGAGCCTGATATCGGCTGGGCAAAACGCCACACATTATCCTCACTTTCTCCTTTATTTTCATTTAATAACTGTTCTAGAGCGGGATGGACCCGAATGACACGCGACAAGCGGATGACTTTCGTACTAAAAATATCTTTTGTGAGCGATTGGCTTGTTTAGAAAATTCAAGACCGGATACAGTAGAGGCGAGACAGTCAAAAATAGATGAAGTATCTCAAACTTATGGTGAGAATATATGGCTGCTTGTGTGCATGACACCGTCGTTCCAATCAAGCCTGAAATACGAATAAGCACTTTGAATCGCAACAACCATTTTCGTGTAACTTGACTATAATGGCTCGTGCAGGCTGAAACGGCCCTGCCAGACTGCGGCTCCCTTTTGCGGCTCTTAAAAGGGTCATGTCATGCAAGCGTGATGTGGAGACGGATGCTGCTTAATTTCACGACATGCCTGCCCTTGCCGCGCGGCGCGCTCCAGATCCTGGACAAGATATGGCGATCCTAATCCATACATCAATTTTTCTGCTTTGTCGGCCTGGTGTTTCTTCGTGGCCCATCCATCTCCCTTGGTCTCTTTTGGGAAAACTTCTGCGCCTTCTAGGGCAAATGCACGACACCACGGGTTCTGGCTTTTGCAGTGCTGGCTCAGTAAGACTGCGAGGCCAATGATTGTGTACGGGATGAATGCTGTCATCACCCGAGCGTACACAGACAACCCTGCATTTCAATTCATCCACTCACACTGCATGTAACTGCTGGACACCGTCACAGCCACAGCCTGTCAGCAGATGCTTTCGGCCAAGAGATTGGGGCTATCGTTGCGCCGTTCTTGCCTGGAGCTGTGGCGGAGAGGATGCTAACGGCAGATATTCGCCCCCCGACACAAGGCAGCAGTCCGGCCCCCACGCTCTAACGTCCACATCAAGTTCACTGCCGGCGGCACCCCATTCTCCCTTTAATCACCACGACCTTGTGTTCAGGCCAGAATTCCCGACGACAAGGCGTTCGTTTTTTTTTGTTTTTTTGATTTGGAGATAGCCGCCTTAAGAAGCACTTCGTTCAGAGTGAACATGGGCAATTTCGGATAATTGACCTCACAATCCCAATTCACTGTGCAAGGCTCGAGTTAGGCGGTTTCTCCATTCTTTCCAGCTGTCAGTCACTTCCCATCATCTTCAACATAAAACAAGAATGACACGCCTCTTCCACGCCAGCGGAGCGGCGGCTGGTGCTAGCGTGCTCCCCAGCTTGCAGCACGGCGGCCTGGCGTTCATCCGGGACATGCTCAGCGGCAACTTTGACTTTGACATCAACCGGGTCTCGGCGGCACTCACGATTCTCAGCTTCAGCGTCGGGGCCATCAGGTACGGCTACGCGCTGACGAGACAGTGCGCGTACTGGGTGCACCAGTTCTTCACGGCCTGCGTGACGGTCACCGCGCCCGACGAGCTTCATGAGCAGGTCCTCCGCTGGCTGGCCGATCATGTCCTCAAGGACCAGAAGACTCGCCTGCTCAGCGCAAAGTCGACTCGTGCCAGCCCGGATGCTCCCATGCAGCGGCCGCCGCCGCAGGGCGCGAGGATCCGAAAACGCGGCGGGAGCATCCAGTACCTACCGGCCTATGGCACGACCTGGTTCTTCCACGAGAAGAACCTGTTTGCCGTCACGAGGTCTTCGCGGTCGGCCGGCGCGACACTACCAGGCTTTGAGCTGGGGATGTCGAGCATGGTCGTGAGCACGTCGGGCAAGAGCGAGGAGATGCTCTCCATCATGTGTCTTGGCCGGTCCCCGGACCCTATCAAGGCGTTCCTCGAGCAGTGCCGCGCACACAGTCGCACGCTCGCCAAGTTCTCCGTCACTGTGCGGTCGTGCGGCGAGCGTGGTACCGGCTGGGACCTGACCTGCCAAAAGGCTGTCCGGCCAATGGACACCTTGTACCTCGAGGATGCCGTCAAGCTGGACATCCTGGCGGACATACGGCACTACGGCAAGGCGGCCACGCGGGAGTACTACCGAAGACGTGGCATACCGTACAGGCGGGGTTATCTACTTCACGGGCCCCCCGGGACGGGCAAGACTTCGCTCTCGCTCGCGCTTGCAGGCCAGTTCAAGCTTGACCTCTACGTGCTGAGCATGTCTGCAGTCATTGGGGACACAGCCCTGAGCAGCATGTTCAATGCCCTGCCGCTCCGCTGCATTGTGCTCCTCGAGGACATCGATGCCGTGGGGATGAGAAGGGAGGCCGTCTCTGACCAGGGCAGCGATGAGCAGGGGAAGAGCGAACAAAGGCCTCTTGGCAGGATGATGCCGCATCCTCATGGAAATGCGACGGGCGGCTCGCGTGGCAATTGCACACTCTCGGGACTGCTCAATGTGCTGGATGGCGTGGCCTCCCAGGAGGGCCGGATCGTCCTCATGACGTCAAATGATCCCGATGGTCTGGACGAAGCGCTCCTGAGGCCTGGCCGGGTCGACCGCAGATACTACCTTGGGCACATGAAGCGGCCGGCGATAGAGGCCATGTTTCTGCGCATGTTTGAGCCCGAGACTCCGGCTGACGATGTTGAGAAGTCTGCGGGAACTGACAAGGACAGTCCCCCTACGGAGGACGATGGAAGCATCTCGGAGACGATGCGCAGCAGGGAAAAGTCCCAGGAGCTAGGCGACGAGATACTACTGAGCGAAGTTGAAGCATCACTAGCGAGGCAGGAGGTCCTGGCAGAGCAAGCTCGCGAGTTTGCGGCCATGGTGCCAGAAGGGCGGTTCACCCCAGCAAAACTACAAGGGTACCTGCTCATGCACAGCGAATCGGCTGCCAAGGCCATTCGGGAGTTGCCAGCGTGGATCGAGGAAGACGCGCGCGACCGGGAGAGAGCCCAGGCGAAACAAGACGCAGCACGCGGCGCGAGTTCCCCTCGCCCATCAGATGGGGTGACGAATGGAACCGATACCGCCACTGGGCGTGATCCTGCAAGGGCCGCAAACCCGTCGAAGACTACACAGAAAGCAGTATTGAATGGTTTTTTGCAAGAAGATGGCACGCGGGTGAACGGGACTCATTAGCCCTCGATCGATCTTTGCCGAGTGGCCGTTACACTATTTGGCAGCTAGAGTAAAGGATCGAGCATCAGAGCGCTCGGCTTCCTGACCGCGTAAGATAGAAGAATTGAAGTTTCCACCGTTGGTCACCACTATTTTCGGCGTAAAACCCCCGGGGCCTACGTGGGAAGCAGATGAAAGGGCCATTGACTTGATTCAAACCACAGGTTCGAAACAAAGGCGAGGTCGGTGAGGCCATTGTTTGATGCTGGAAACCATCCCAGGGAGAGCTGCAAACCAAAGGCGCCAGGCGTTGTCGTCGGTCGCTAGCGTGGGGCTTCGGAACGTGTACCCTGGCCGACTTGGACCCGTAACGGTGTGCAAGGCTGGCACGCGTGACCTCATCTAGCGGCATCCTCTCCCCAAGGGGTACTGGACATGCACAAAGCTGTCATAAGCTGCCAGCTCAGAGCTTCCCCCTCAATCGGACGGAGTCTGGAGACAATAAAGACTGCACCCCGGCACGAAACGGTGCCATCAGAGATGCCCTGCTTTCGCATTAGGCCACAGCTCCACCACGTCCCGGGCGGAAACACTCGCTGTGATTGGCAGGCGCAGGGGCCAAGCACGAATATAGCAGCAGCTGTGCTCGGCCTGGCCAGGGTCCATGTCCATCAATCCCCAGCTCTGGCAAGCCCCCCGCCTGCAAGTGCTCATCACGACGCGGCCGTCGATTCAGCCGCTCGGCCTTGCTTGATTACGCCACTTACACACACTGATGCCCCTTCCCGCCCGTGGGCTGTCTCCGCTGCTTCTGCTGCTGCTTCCAACTCTGAGCTGCCTCTTTTTCCAGCGTCGCAGCAATTGCTGTCCCTCTCCGCCCTGAGCGCGAGCGAAGCAGCTGTTTGTCCACCCTGCGAGCCTTCACTACACCCGGCTAGTATGCGCTAACACGCGACAAAAGGGGTCCTCCGCTTCTCCACACGCCAGCCCTACAGCGTTTACCAGCCAGCTCTAAGGGGGCACCAAAGTCCCTCGAACGACGCAGACAGGCCCGGCAGCCTCCATGCCGTCTGGCCTGGTCAACTGCTCTCTTTCCTTGACCAGTCGCCTGATCGATGTGGCATAGAGGATCTTGTATGCACCAGCCCAGCAGCCACATCCTCACCCGCCGGACGCTGGCGGTCCACGACAGCTGGCTCCATACAACCGCGGGTCTATTCAGAACTCGAAGTAAACAAGACGCCCGCACCTGCGATCTCAAGCTCGATCGGGCGTGCCGCCCGCAATGAGCACCCTCCCGGAAGGATGGGAGGCGGACTACGACGGCTCGAGATGGTTCTATCGCTACAAGTCAACGGGAATTGTGCAATACCAATTTCCCAAGGAAGGAGACGAGTTTCCCGAGTGGTATGACGATGGCGGAAACGATGTTCCTCTCGAGCCCGAGGCCTGGCTCGCCAGCGAGCAGCAAGTTAGGCGGCGCAGCACTCTTGTCTCGGACCCGGAAAACCCAGGCGAGCTCTCCCCAGTCAAAGCCACGACGAACCGGCGGAAAAAGTCCGAAACGATACCCGAGGACGAGGAGATGAGTGCCACTGGCTACTTTGACCCGAGCAGCTTCATGTATCTGGGTCCTGGGGGTGATATCAGCCCCGTTGGGGAAGACGACGATCGTGACGGAGCTGGCAGCTTAAAAGCCAAGAGCGCAACGCCAACACCAAGCCCAGGCCCAACACCGTCTACCATCCACAGCCAGGTCTCGCCGGTGCCAGGCCCGCCAGCACAGATAGATCCGCGTACGCTAGCCGCCGAGCTCCCCGAGGACACTGCGCATCCCTGGAAGCCAGTCGGCTTCGTGGCAGAGCTACCCACGCTAGACACAGTCAAGTGTGCCGAGGAGCTTGCGCCGGTCGAGATGGACGGCACCTCTCATATCCCGACACCGGTGCAGACGAAGCAGGAGCATAGCGGTCCTGTCGAACTCCCGACGCATAGAGAACCGGCGGAATCCAAGGCGAAGGAGCCAACCCCTCCAGCGAACACATTACCCGTGGTTACGCCCCCGGTCCAGACCCTTACAGAGTATCCCCTCGTGTCTGCATCGTTTGCATACCCTGCTCTGCAACCACAGAGCTCAGGTGGTTCGACCCCGTCAAGGCACCAGAGTCCAGCGCAGGTACAGTCTTCCGCTGTTTCGACACCGCCCATGCACCAGAGTCCTCAGCAAAGCCCGTTGATCTCGTCGTCTGTTGCTGTTCAGCAGCGAAGTACGTCGCCACCGAAGCGTAGTGATGCTCAGATTGAAGCCCAAAAATTCCAACCCTGGAGCCCGCATAAGAACATCGTAGATGATGGGGCAATGCGTGGAAATCGATCTTCCTTGGTACTCACAGGCCCATCTGTGTTGCAGTCACAAGAAAGCGAGCTCGGCCGTATGCGCGGTAGCTCTAGTGATGCAAGTATACCTGTCCAGCCACCAGCCTCCAGTGTCGGACTGTTTACCGCCCCGCAAGATCCCAGGGCTTCAGGAGCCTCAGCTTCCCAATCCCCCTTCGACCCTGCCTTAGCTTCGCCTCCGGACCCTATGCTGCTCAAGTCACCTATACCACAGATCCTACAGCCTGCTGGTCTGCAGAAGAGAGTTTCCTTACCAGAAGTGCCGGACCTATCTCGAATGACGATTCAACAACCACAGGCGCACAGTCTGCCAGGGTCCGCTGCACGTCACCAAAGTATATCTTCCGGCTCGGCAACCAACAACATGTCCAGCGCTCACCCGCCAGTTCTCACACCAACAGCCCACGAATCATACCGAGTACAATCCTCTCCGAGCCAAGACTCCAATTTGGGAGGGCGTGGGTCGCCATCTCAACCAGGGCGTTCTACCAGTGCGTTTCCTGCTTATGTAGCTGCGCAGAGAGGCCTGCAGGGCTCGCCTGTGTTCAATCAGCAAGCACAAGCCGCTCAGCCGAGTCCGAGCGTGTCTGCCGCCGAGGGGTTGAGTCATCCTCCAGGTCCACGAAGACTTGACACTGAACCGTATCTGCCTACTGCCGGCCCGCTTTCTACAAGAGAGGACGGCGCGGTTTTCGGTGTACGGGTATTTCACGAAGATACAGGCCCCCAGGAGTTGAGTTCTGATAACAGCGTGGCTTCTACTCCGCCGTACGTACCCGCGGACCAAAGCAGCGCTCAGACAACAAGCCATACGCGATCCTCGATTTCCGTTCCTATAATTCAAGAGACGAGCAGTTCGCAACAGCCGAACACGGATCGTGATATATCAATGGAAGCTGTCAGACCCCTAAGTCTGACACGGAGCAAGTCTTCCTCGCCGGAATCAAAGCCTGCCGAAGTCTTTGGCACGGGGAACAGCCAAGTCCGGACAAATTCGATTGACCTGTTGTCAGAAGTCATGTCTGTCATGGAAGACAACTTCAGTGCTTCTTCACGTAACAATTCGACTGGGCCCTCAACCACGTCACTAGCCGCCTCAGCCGTCAGCCCCGGGCATGATCCTGTCGTGCCTGGTCATCATCACCAAGTAAGCGAGAGCGTGTCAAGTCTGGGCTCGGGGCAGCTACCTCCTGAGCGGGCAAGCTTGAGTGTTCCCGGTGGGCCAAACGCCACATTCGTATCGCCCCTGTCGAGCCCGGTGCCGAGCCGTCAACAGTCTTTGTCTGGCAACGCACATCAGCCGGCAACCCAAGTCGCCAATCGTCAGGAGTCTAACACAGTGGATGCGCAATTGACTACACCACAGCATCTTAGTTCGCCAGACCAAATAGGCGAGCAACATATGCTCGGAGGCAGGGCGCAATCACCAGAGGCATCTACACGTGGCACGCTTCTTATGGATTCGTTCTCTGCTCAATATGCTTCCCCAAAACAGGAGGCTGAACTTCAGGATCACAATGTCGCAATCAACAAGTCTTCTGAGATGCATCACTTGCAGACAGCAACAGAAGTAGGACCACACCACAGCATTGGAAGCCCCCAAGCTCAGACCCATCAAGGTGTTTCCGGTGGTGATTTTCAAGCAGGAACGCAAGTCCAGCCACACGAGCTACCGGAAAAGTCTACGGCCTTATCCAGTGCCGCACAAACCTCTGTTGAGCCTCGAGCTCATGGATCTCTAGAGCATGATGAGAAGTCACACAGCACGGCGCCATCTACTGCACATGAGCATGCATCGCAATATGCTGCAATGCAGCAGCAGCAACAACCTCGTGGTGGTCAAACATTGCAACATTCCCCGCAAGGTCAGCTTCCATCTTCACAACCTATCAGCCATTCTCAACAGTCAACCATTATAGACTCTGATGCTGTTCCACAATCGAATGCAGCCTCCACTGTGACAACCCCGACATTATCACAAGAGATTCCAGGCGCTCCCACCGTGACCGCGAGCACTTCTGCCAGTCATGCCGGAGATCAGCAATTGCCGACATCGACTTCAAATCTGGCTGTAACCGGACACGCTGTGCAAAAATTAACCAATGACGGTACTCTCGCTCAGGGACATCACCAAGACAACGGTCCAATCCAGGACTCCCAACTTCAGCACGGAGCAGGCCAGACCGTTTACAGCTATGACCTGGCACCACCAAGTGTCCCCCAGGTAGCCCATGCTCCTCTTGTACAAGTCCCAGAGGAAAATATTTCAGGCGTGGAGTCAAAACCTCTGCCAGACAGTGCAATGCAGCATCAACAGGAAGCCTCGGCCCAAGAGGGTGCCGGCCAGCCCGAGGCACAATCTCAAGCCGAGCAAGCCGCGCCAAAGCCGTTTCCCATGTTGCCGGGGCAAGTCACGCCGCTCCCGTCGCAGGTCGGCTCCGCACCAGTTCCACTACCGCTTCCTCCGTCCTCTAGCGAACAGTCCGCTCCAAATCCTGCAACGAGCCAGTCCAGCCAGACTTTGACATCACCACAGCGAGACTCTTTCCCACCAAATCAGCCTAGATATGGGACAGGCGCATTGCAGCAAGGGTTTATGGGACAGCCTGGCGGGGCTTCTTCGCAAGCCGGCATGCAGCATGTTGCGACTATGATGCCTATGGGCCAGCAACCAGTACACGCACAGGGTCAAGCCATGCAGGGTGGCTTGATGCCTCAACATCAGGTCTTGCCACAACAGCAGTTTCAACAGCCAACGGCTTCCACTGGCAGCGCGGCCCCGGCCAACTCATCAATTACGGACGCAGGAAAGAGTATGAAAAAGTGGGCAAGAAAGATGTTCAGCTCCGGATCGGAGAAGACGCCCGGACCCGTGACTGGGACGTCAGTGATCCCTCCTCGTACAGGCGCTCCAACGAATATGCCAATGCAAACTGCTTCGACGCCGCCTCGGCCTCAGCAATATTTTCAGCCGCAGCCGCAGCCGCAAGGGTCGACGCAACATCTCGGCCAGTTACAACCAGCTCAGATGTACAATCTGCCTATGCGTCCACAGCCCCCTTTGATGGCAGTTCCTGAAAATCAAGCACTTGGCACAGGCAGCTCTCAGCCCCCAAGTCAACCTACGCTTTTAGGAATGAAGCACTCTGCTTCCATGCCTCAGATTCCACAAGCCCAGAAACCGACGCAGCCAAGCCAGAGCCAACAGAACAATGTTCCTATGAGTGTGTATCAGCAAAGTGGCATGCAACGCCCGATGCAAAACCCCGGCCAGCCGTTGATGGTGCCTGGCCAGTTTCGACAGCAAGTTTATCAACAACAGCCTGGTCCCGGTACTCCACAGGTTCCTAAAAACGGGCATCCCGGGCCAGCTCCAATGCAAGCTGCTCCGCATGGTGCTTCTTCATCCATTCCACTGCAGGAGCAGCCAGTTGGCAATCATGTGCCTGCTAACATTTCGGCTCGGCAGAGCAGCGGCACGTTTTCAGGACACCCAGCCGGTCAACACCCTCAACATCGAAATTCAAAACCAATACAAGGTTCGATGCCGCCCGGTGCCATGCCAACACAGCAGCCAATGCAGCAGCCACCGTCGGCGACGCACTTGCAGATGAATGCATCTTCCGGAACCAGGGCACCACAGAATGCACCTTCGTTGCCGACGACTACGCAGGTTGGTGGTCCAGTTCCCGTGCAAGGGCAAATTCCTACATACGGGCAACAGCTACCGCAAGGGCCGTACCCTCCACAATGGCAACAGTTTCCACAAGGCCAGCCTGTCTCGCAAGGTCAGTATGCGCAAGCGGTACAGCAAAACCCGCATGGACAATTTGTTCAGCCAGGTCAGGGGCCAGGATCCATAGCGCCAATGCCGGCGAAGAACCTGCCTCTGCCGCAAGGCCTGCCTGCACCACAGGCGGCAACAACAGCATCAGGAGCGGGATCGGCCACTCAGCCGCCAGCCAATTCAACCCACAAGAGGACCTGGTCGAAAAGCAAGGCCGACTATTCTGGCGGTGAATGGGGTGATAATTGGTAAAATATCAAGTCACTGCGCACTAATACGGAGCGATTTCTGAATTCTGGCATGGCTCAAAGGCTTAATATCCCTTTGTGCTACGTTGCGCAACACTCCTATCTATGTGTATATAATCAAAGGACAAGCCCAGCTGTCGGTATAATAATCTTGCGCTGGATGTATGCAACGCCTTAGACTCGAACAACGTGATACCATTTTCTGCCGCGCACTGTAGAATTAGATGCCAAAGTCATAACCACATATCCCATCTGATTCGGCTCTACACGTATGGGATACGACAAGAGTATCTTCGCGCGCACCTGAAAAAGCTACAATACCAAGCAGCCGAGTTTTGTCATCAACGAATGCCCCAAAACCAAAAAGATGCTCGCACCATATGGCGCCGAGAGTAGGACTTGCCCCCATCTCAAAGGCTGTGCAATGGCCCAGATCCTCCATGGCCCCCCTCATTAGTCCTCGGACTATTAGTCCTCGGATACAGACAAAAGGATGTCTAGATGGGTTCTTAGATGTTGCATATAGTTGTGTACACACATATATATAACTATCACAAACCAGGAAAAAGTCAACCTGAAGCGGTGGGCACAAACTGCATGCCCCAAGTGCTTTTTCTCTTGCTCTGTGCAGGTGTGTTGGTGTGTGTATATGTGTGTGTAAAATAGTACATAGCCTCGCCGGCATGTTCAGCCTGGCTTCTTCTTCTCCTCGTTTCTCTCGGTCCTCTTCTTATCTCATAATTGTACATGTTGAAAACACAGGCTCTTCTCGTACAAGCTCTAGTTCGTGTAAGAGCGCAACGGTACAGACAGACATTTTTGTTTCTCTTTTTACTTCAGCCTGTCCAGTGCGTCCTGGGCCTTCTGGATGAGCAGCTTGGCCTTCCTCCGCTGTGTCTCGTCCTCGCTGAGCTGTCCGACGCCGGGTGCGCTACTTGAGCTGCCGCCACCGCCACGGATAGCGCTGGTCATGACGCGCTCGACGCCGCGCACGGCCTTGCGGCCTTCCTCGCGGACCTCGCCCTCCCAGAAGTCGCGCGCAGCTTCCCACTTTGTCTGCAGGCGGCGCAGGCTCCAGACGACGCCGAGCGCGGCGACCGCGCCGGCCTCGTAGATGGACGTCGTGAGCGTGCCGACGTACACGAGCGCCCCGAGGGCGCCGGTCAGCGACGACGTGCTGAGGGTCTGCACCACGAGTTTCTGCGCGAGGGATTGCAGGGCTGGGATGGTCTCGGTCTGCAGGTAGTTGCGGCTAGCCGGGATGTTGAGCGGCCAGGATGGGCGCACTGTCGCGAGCGCTGTTGCTTCAGGCTTTGACGAGCCATTGTCGCCAGTCTCGTGACTTGCTGGTAAAAGGGAAGGGTTCAGGGGCGCGCCGGCTTCCGTCATGCGACCTGCGAGAAAGATGGCATTGCGTTCAGCGTTGGGAAGGAAGCGCTGGTTGAGTATGTCTGTGGTCAGGTGGGCAACGTCGTCGACGCGCCAGAACAACTTCCACCAGCCGAGCTTGCGCCACCTCCTGCTGGCAAAGGCCATGTCTAACTCGTCTTGCAGCTCCTTGTGGGCATCTTGCGCCCAGTCGTCAAGCTGGCGCTGTAGTTTTGTGTTTACAGATCCAGTGGTGCTGTTGCCGGGGACAGTGCTGAGCGTGCGCAGCTCCTCTGACTGCAGCGCCGCAGAGGCGTTGCTTAGGATTGAGACGATCAGGCTACGAACTGGAGCCTTGGTGGTGCCGTCTTCTGTCGCACCGGTACTATTCTTCAGCCAGTCATTGAGCTGCGAGAGGTTGCTCTGGGACCACAAGTGCTCGTACTCGACGGCTTTGCCGATGTCCTTGCGAATCAAATCCACTGCCAGGCTCGCACTCTCCGCGTCTATGGGTGTGAAAGGCAAAGCCTGGTCGGCTGAAGGTTTGTAGTCAGGCAGGTTGACCGCAGCTATGATGACATCCTCGGTTCCGGTAGAGGCGAGCGCAGCGACCGATGCAGCACCCATGATGCCATTGGCGACCACGATAGCTGCGTGTACCGGTGTGGTCACTGCTGTGTACCTGCCTGTGCTGGACGTAGGGATGTCTATTATCGGCACGAGGACGCTTTCCTCGAATTCACTGACGGCCGCGGTACTTTGCTGGCCGGGTGTGAGAGGATTGCTCTCCATGATCATGAGCTCGAGATTGTGGCCATTGAACAGAGCCGACGACACATGCACCTCGTGGAGCAGGTCGTTCCGGGATATGCTGATTGTGCCTGGCGCCTGTGGCTGCTTTGGGCCGACCCGGATGAGCATTGGTTGGGAGAGATTGTGCTGGTCTATCTCGTCTTCCCAAGCCTCCCGGTCCTTGAGGGGGTCTGCGAGCAATAGCCTCGCCACTGTCTTTGTCGTTGCCGCAGACTCGGAAGCACTGCTCATGCCAAGGACGGCGACGCGGATGGCTTCGTCGCCAGGCGCCTGGCGCAAGCCATTGACAGCAAGCTGGACGCGAGAGAGGTTGACGTAGTTGGCAGCATGCTTCTGTAGCTCGAGCAGCGCATCCTGAAGGTCACGGCGGGGATCCGTCGAGGGCGTGGCGGCATCTGGGCCGGGAGAGGCGGCGCTGACGGCGGCAGCAGCGGCGGCAGCGGTCGAGCTGGCCGGACCATGAATTGGCCGCTTCTGTTTCGGCTGGCGACTGAATGGTGTGGGCGTTGCCGATATCGAGCAAAAGAGACAGACGGAAGGCTTTGAGGGCGAGTCGGTCGGCAGCTGGCGGACGAGGGCCTTTGACCTGGCGAAGGGCCGTGGGGACAGCCGCGGAGGCATTGTGCGGGGTGCAGGCTGGCACGAGGTAAGACGGGCCGCTCGAGAGCCGCGGCTTGGGTTGGGGAGGGCGCGCGCGGCGCGAGGAAGGAAGCGGGCGGTGATGGCCTCCGTGTGTGCGAGGAGCGGAGGTGTGGTGTGTGGTTGCGGCGGCGCTGAAGCTCTGGAACTGAAGCTCTGGAAATCTTGGCGCTAGCTGCAAGCTTCCAGGTTGTCGAGAGCTCTGCTCTGAGCTTGCTTGTTCCGCGCACGACGAGGTCCACAATGGCTCGCACCCGAAAGGTTCAATTGTTTGCTTGGGTCGACACCAGCCTCGCGCTTACGTGATCCTGGGGCATCCTGTTCAGAAGTCTGGTCCTGTGCCATTCATTGTCAGCAACATACCGTAGTAACCGCCTCCTTGGGCCAGGCCATGACGTCTGCACCGTGCTTGCTGCGATGGACCCCGAGGGGTTTTGCTGCTGCTGCTGCTGGTTGTGTGTGATGGTGTCTGATCACGGCGCATGCATGCATGGAAGTTTTGAGAGCCTCAGGGCAGCAAGTACAGTATTAGTGGCCTGTAGCTAGCTGTTCGACTGCTAAAGACAGCCCCCCAGCTAGCGCTGTCGGCTGGCGCGGGTGTGCGCTGTCAGTTCAGTTGGGCTGGGGCCGTGTCCCTGGCCCGGCGCCGATCTCAGCCGCATGTGTGTGCGATGCAGCGTGGCCCCGGCTCCGTCCCAAGCCTTGTGAAACGGCAGTTGACGACAGCTTTCGTCCTGCCGCCCCTCTCCTCCACGGCTTCTGCGCTGCCACTCCCACCGGCTCAACCGCCGTGTTCCCAGCTTGTTGAGCAGCCCTGCACCGCCAGCGTTTCCCTTCTGCATGCGCTACCATCTCTGCTTCTCTCAGTTTTTCCTTCGCCTGCTGTGCCTGGCCGTGCCTGACTGTGCCTGGCTGCCCCAGCACCGACGGTTCACCACCCCTGCAGCTTTCCCCCCGCCGTTTCAACCACCACGCACGCCGCCTGGATCGCCCCTCCGGCCTCGTGCACCGCCTCGCCGGGGCTATTTGTGCCTGCTTTCGCCACTGCCAACGTGTACGACGTGGACTCGAGAGAATACACGTCTCAAGCTCATGCCTGCGATCCCTTGCTGCACCTTGCCCGTCGTCCACTCCGCCGGCGTCTCGTACTTGAGACCTACACTGCTACCGGGTCAACGGTAGCCATCGGACATTTTTCACTGCGGCATCCCGTCCCGGCCACTCACAGCGAGCTCCGTCGATTCTCACGAACCCCATGGTTCCATGGTCACCCACCAGCCACAGCATCATCGCCGGCATGCGAAGCCAGAACCTGGCTGAGTCTGGCTCTTCAAACTATCCACCGCAAGCATGGAATCTGACGGCAAGAAAGAGGGGCCTGATGCCTCCTCTCTTGTAAGTGTCGTCCGCCATGTGGCCAGGGACTTTCGGCGTTGCTTGCTGACCAGCTCTTATCCCTGTAGCAACCAGTGTCTTCACTACGAGCACGATGGGAGAATATGAACAAGGCGGATAATGGCGCCCCGAATGTGCCACCACCCAGGTCCTCGACTCCGCGAACGAGATCACCCTCCCCCAAACCGCCTCCGATCCCGGATACGAGACCGAGTCGAGATGCAATTGCCAAGGTGACGGGCGACGACTCAAGGCCGAGCCCCATTGATACCAGCGCAGCTGCCATGCTTCCAACCCAGAGTCCCGCCGTTACACGATTCGCTCCAGAGTCGCTCAACCTCGTAAGCCCTAGACCGTCACGCCCGCCGGCGGTCCTCGTTGAACCACCCCATTCTCCGCCAAAGCTGGGTGGACTTTCCTTGGGATATGGCAATGACAGCAATGGCCAGCTCAGCGCGGATCCAACCAAGTCCGCCCTGCCCAGCACACCAACAACGCCAGCAAGTCGGCCCTTGAGATCACCGAGTCGGCCCACAACGCCGACGCCAGTCTTCGAGCCCCGTCTATCCCCACGACTTGCGCCTCACTCACAGCCTCCATCTCCACCGCCACCACGTAGATCTGGCGAGCTCAAGCGAGACGGCAAGCAGCCTCCTGCTAAGGTGCCACCGCCCGTCAATAGGGCAGAGAAGCCGAGCAACCGACTCTCTGGCATCATCACCAACGCCCCGAACCTGGGCGCTCCCCCGCCGGCTTCTGAAGAACGATCTCCATTCAGCAGCCCGCCCCAACTTGCAAGTAGCCCCGAGGTTGAAGAGCCACCATTGCTGCCGACACGCCCTGCGCGGCCCCTTTCGCAAAGGATAGCGCCGACTCGGACCAATACTATTCCAGCTACATTTGAGCCACCACCGGTTCATCACGCGGTTGCGAACCGGAGGCGAGACCAGGATATTCGTGCACAATCTAGATCAGTGGCCAACCAGCGTGATGAGCACGTAGGCTTGGTTCGGCACCAGTCTGTGATTGAGACCTCAAGGAGCGCGCCACCGCCAAAACCTCCGAGACCCGGGGCCATTGCATCACAAGTGACCGTGGACACATCCCTGTCGGCATTGGCACCTCCCAAGAGGATCGTTTCTACACCGACCACTCAGTATTCACCAAGGAGCCATGGACGTTCAATGACTGTGGGGGCGTCCGACAAGCCACCTCAAGTCAATCGAGAAATGGCGAGACGAATCGTGTCAGACGAGCACAAGGCCATAGCCGAATATCAGGAACCAATCCATAACGGCACAGCGCCGGCCCCAGGGCCGACAGGGCCGTCATCTTATCCGGATGCGTCAAACATCAATCGAAGATTCCCTGCGGCGCATGGCGTCAAAGAGCTAGCTGTCAAGTACGATACGAGATTGATAGCCACTTGTGGACAATATGTTTGCACAACTGGCGCGGTCACACGCGTTTGGAATCTTCAGACAGGGGAGCTCCTGGTCAGCTTTGCACCCTTTGATGAGGGCGTTAGAGGTACCGCTGTAGCCTTCAAGCCTGGTCACTTGTTCGAGCCGCCGGCAGATTCGGGCGTTCCTGCCCAGGAGGAAGGCACCCGAATCTGGATTGGCAGCAGCGTAGGCGAGATAGTAGAATTCGACATCCCCTCGAAAGAAGTTGTCGGCACGAGATCAATCGCCCATGGACATTACGAGGTTACACAAATCTACCGCCACAAAGATGAGATGTGGACCCTTGATGAGGGTGGAACATTGCATGTATGGGGGCCCTCGGAGAAGGACAGCCTGCCACGGCTCGGCAATACCCACCCGCATCAGACATATCGATTGGCCAGGGGACACACATTTTCAATGGTCGTGGGTGCTGAGCTTTGGCTGGCCACAGGGAAAGAAATCCGGATCTATGCACCCACAGTCGATGGAAGGCAACAGGTCCAGGTACTCATGCGTCCCTTGGTCACGGCTGGTGCCGGGGAAGTTACGGCAGGAACACTTCTCGCCTCGGACCCCAATAAAGTGTACCTGGGTCACGCCGACGGCAAGATCAGCATCTACTCCAGAAACGACTGGACATGCCTGGAAGTTGTGGGTATCAGTTCCTACAAGATCACCTCGCTGGCCGGTGTTGGCAACTACCTGTGGGCAGGTTACAACTCTGGAAAGTTGTGCGTCTACGACATCGCGAGCTCACCGTGGGTGGTGAAGAAGGATTTCACCGCACACAACGACAAGCCTGTGGTTAGATTGGTCACGAACCGCTACGACTTCCACAAGCTTGAGAGATTTCAGTTACTGTCTCTTGGTGCTGATAACATGATCCGGATCTGGGACGGCCTTCTCGAGGATGACTACAAGGAAGCCGTCATGAAAGCCAGGTACAAGGAGTATAGCACGACGGAGAATCTCAAAGTGCTTGTCATGACCTGGAATGCCGGAGCATCTACGCCGACGACGCTGAGGAAGCTTGAATCCGACGCAAACTTCTTCCCAAACCTGCTTAGATCTAGTGGCTCACCAGACATCCTCGTGTTTGGCTTCCAAGAGCTTGTGGACCTCGAGGATAAAGCGGCAACTGCCAAGAGGCTTTTCAAGTCCAAGAAGAAGGACGCAGCTACAGACCAAGAGCAGATGAGTCACCAGTATCGTGCTTGGCGAGATTTTCTCATGAGGACGATTGATGATGACGAGCGCATGAGGGACGACATCTATCACCTGCTGCACACATCGACCCTTGTCGGGCTATTCACCTGTATCTTCGTCAAATCTAGTATTAGGAACCGTGTCCGGAACCTCAAGAGCGGCGAGGTCAAACGCGGCCTTTCCGGCTATCATGGCAACAAAGGTGCCATTGTCGTCCGGTTTTTTGTCGATGACACTTCGCTATGCTTCATCAATTGCCATCTGGCTGCGGGCCAATCACACACGCAGAGCCGGCATACAGATGTCCACGAGATCATGTCGGCAGATGTGTTCAAGCCAAAGGAGGAACACAAACGACTCGAGGAAGCCAACGAGGAGGAAACGCCACGAGGTCTGGCTACCCGTATTGACAGCTTCACAGGTGGAGGCAACGGCTGGATGATTCTGGATCACGAGCTATGCCTGCTTAACGGGGACCTCAACTACCGCATCGACACCATGTCTCGCGATACGGTGGTGAACGCCGTCAAGGCCAACAATCTTGCCAAGCTCCTGGAGCGTGACCAGCTGCTTGTGGCACGCAGACGAAACCCCTCCTTCAGGCTTCGGGCGTTTGAAGAAATGCCAATCACATTTGCGCCGACGTACAAGTATGATGTTGGGACGGACGACTATGACACCAGCGAGAAGAAGCGTTCGCCGGCATGGTGTGACCGACTTCTCCACCGGGGCGGTGGCAACATTCAGCAGCTTGATTACCAACGCCATGAAGTCAGGGCGTCCGACCACCGGCCGGTGACAGGACGCTTCAAGTTCACAGTCAAAAAGGTGATACCCGAGCAGCGCGAGCGGATCTGGGAGGAGTCTCTGGAGCAATTCAAGGGCGAGAAGGTGGGCCAAGCTCTTGAGGAGAAGTAAGCATCAAACCCCCGCCTCTAAGAGATCACGGCCGGCACTGACTGACTTTTGCATAGACGGGACTACCTAACCAATGTGTGTGGCTATGATGCCGCGACAAGTGCCCAACTGATACCAAAGTCAAAGAAGAGGACAAAATAAAGAGGAGCAGGAACCCAATGACGGAAGCTTGAGCTCCTAGTCCACAGGAGAGGGAGGGAGGGAGGGAGAGACGGATTTTCTGCATAGCATTTAGCGACAACGGACAAGGCCATATTGTATTTCGGCAGCACTGGCGCCAAACCAACTTTTCTTAAGGGGACACGACCAGGAAGCGACATAGACGACGGCGGCGCCAGGGCCGGGGTAGAGCAGGGAGGAGGGGTTATTGGTGTACACGGATGGTTGGGTTACGCTGTGAGATGATTAGAAAGAAGAAAAAAAAAGAAAGGCAGAGCACGTGGCTGCTTTGGAGTGTGCCTCTGCGTCCTCGATCTATATTCTGCAGCGGCTTGGGTCGTTGCACATCTCGAGCGAATACCTACTTGGTGTGCCTACGTCTGGCGACTGCCGAGACCGGCTTGTCGTCAGGGCCGGAGGGCGGGACCGGCAGGGCTGGGCTGGAGGCCGGGCCCGTGGCGGCCCACTGCGAACAACGCCATGCGGGCCAATGCGAGTTTCCTGGGGGTAACGAAGGGGTAAAAGATTGCTCCATGGGCCAATCAGGGGCCGTTTTGGGACAATTTGCAAAGAGGACAATGATGCGCAGCCCACGGAAAACAAGCAATGGAATAGAAAAAAAAAATATCATCTGGAAAAACTTGCTCGTCCCGTGCCCAGCGCACGGGTTCATAGCGCAGTACGGCATTGACCGTCTCGTGGAGTGCTTGCTCGAGTGCGGGCTTGCCTGCTTGGGACTGGAAGTGACCCCTCTCTCTGCCTTGCAAATCCGGCTTGAATGATGCGAGCGCGCTAATACTGCATACCTTACGTATCTTGGCCCCCCAGAAACAACAGCCGTGCCGGGGGCCTCTTTTTTTTTCTCGGCCTGCCCCACGACTCATGGCTCGGCCGGGGCGGGCGGGCGGGTTCTGGAAGGCTTTAAAGAAACCAGGTGCCCGCGCCGCTGCCTTGTCTTGCCGTCGAATGCTTGTTTTCATGGCTCCTCCAGTTCGCATTGAATAATTCAAATCAACTCTTCTCTAAGCGTTCTGTTTGCGTCCTCCTTACGTTCAACCACCCTTTCACCTTTCACGTGCTTATCGACGTCACTGCGTGCACCCTGCGAGCCGTTATATTCCCTTATCAGAGAGTGATAGCTACGTCCGCCTGTCGGTCGGTGGGCATCAGCAGAGGCATATATCAAGTCCTCTCTGGTGTTGTCCAAGGTCTTCTTCGTTTCGCTCTACTTGAGAGGACCAAGGAGAAGGAGAAGAATTAAAATTCCCAAGATGGGGGCCTTTACGCCAGTGGTCAGTGGAGGCGGCGACATGAGCTTGCCAGAGTCACGAGTCTTGGTCATTATCACCGGAGGTAAGTGCTACCCATACATACACACACACGCTCTCTCTCTCTTTCCCTTTGTCTCTCTCACAGACAACAATAACAACAACAACAATACCACCACCAGTAACACACCGATTTCTGACGAGCAAGTCCAGGCACGATATGCATGCAGCCGTCGGCGAGCGGGCTGGTCCCCGTCGAGGGCTTCCTGGAGGCGGCCATGGCGACGCGGCCGTCGTTCAACGACCAGAGCGAGCGGGTGCCGCTGAGCGCGATGCAGAACGGCAAGAAAAAGGCGATCCCGTCGCTGCGGACGCCGCCGACGTCGTACGGCAAGCACATCCGGTACGGGGCGCTCGAGTTCGCGCCGCTGCTCGACTCGTCGAGCATCAGCAACGAGGGCTGGGCGCAGATCGCCATCACCATCCAGGAAAACTACCACCTCTTTGACGGCTTCGTGGTGCTGCACGGCACAGACTCGCTCGCCTACTCGGCCAGCGCCCTCTCCTTCATGCTCGAGGACCTCGGCAAGCCCGTCGTGCTCACGGGTTCCCAGGCCAGCATCTTTGCCCTCCAGTCCGACGCCGTCGACAACCTGCTCGGCAGCCTCATTGTCGCCGGCACCTTTGTCATCCCAGAGGTCTGCCTCTTCTTCCACCACACCCTCTTCCGCGGTAACCGCTCCACAAAGGTCTCGGCCTCGAGCTTCGACGCCTTTGCCTCGCCAAACTGCGAGCCCCTCGCCCGCGTCACCAGCCTCGGCGTCGACGTCAACTGGGCCCTCGTCCGCCGCCCGACAAAGATTGCCCGCTTCGCCGTCACCAGCTACCTCGACACCGCCCACGTCGCCTGCATCCGCATCTTCCCCGGCATCCTCCCCGAGATGCTCGACTCGGTCCTCCGCGTCCCCACCCTCCGCGGCCTCGTCCTCGAGACCTTCGGCATGGGCAACGCCCCCGCCGGCGTCGACGGCTCCCTCACCAAAGTCATTGCCGACGCCGTCCGCGAGCGCGGCATCGTCATCGTCAACGTCTCCCAGTGCACCTCGGGCTTCGTCTCCCCCTTGTACGCCCCCGGCTTCGCCCTCGGCGAGGCCGGCGTCGTCTTTGGCCAGGACATGACCTCCGAGGCCGCCCTCACCAAGCTCGGCTACCTCCTCGCCGCCTTCCCGCCCCTCAGCACCGACGAGATCCGCAAGCGCATGTCCAACAGCCTGCGCGGCGAGATGACCGAGACAAAGGTCCCCGTCTTCTCCCACCCGGCCGGCGGTCTCGCCGCTGCCGCCGGCTTCGACTCGGACGACGATCCGGCCACCGCGGCGCTGTACTCGTCCCTCCTCGAGCCCTCGGACCGTGCCTTCACCGCGCTCGGCTACGCCATCAAGAAGGGCGACCTGGCCGCCGTCCGGAACCTGCTCGACCGCGACGAGGAAGCCCAGGCGCTCATTGCCAGCAGCGGCCTGACCTCAGCCAGCCTCTCCCCCTCGTTGGCGACCTCAAACCTGGCCTCCTCCTCCGCTGCCGCGACCACATCCACATCCGGCGGCCGCCGCCGCCTGCTCGAGAAGGCAGACTACGCCGGCAACACGGTCGTCCACCTCGCCGCCGTCGGGCCCGAGATCGGCGTGCTCAAGGAGCTCCTCACCCGCGGGGCCAGCATCCACGTGCGCAACCGCGCCGACAACACCCCTCTCTTCATGGCGCTGCTGGTCCGCAACATTGACGCCGTCGCCCTGCTAAGGGAGGCGGGCGCCGAGGTCTGGGAGGGCGAGGAGGGCGGCAGGAGGCGGTGATTTACCCCCTATTAGCAGTGTGATTCTTTTTTTTTGGAGGTTTTTGAATTTGTACATATAGACGCGGGCGCGTGGTATGTGCGGCTAGGACCGAGGTCCACGGAGAAGAGCGAGTTGAATCATTCGAGCACTTGAACATTGGAAATACTATCATCACTAGAATCTCGGTCAATATGAATGATCAGAAAACAAGATTTGGTTCGGCAAGGAAAGAAAAATCGGGAAAAGAAAAAGAATGTGCAAAAGCCGACTACTTTGACCACGTCTACCTAGACATGCCCGTGTGAATCGAAACAACTGCGCTCCATGGTCATCTCACACATCAGGGTAACAAAATTACAGCGTGTCAACACATACATGTGTGTGTGCCTTTAGGGTAAATCGCCATGCGTGTTATATTTTGTGTACGTGTGAGACCATACACCTGCAGAAATGGGCGGGAAGTACAGCCCTGGATATTCAGGTTCGTCCCATCCATCCTCGATTGCTTCAGCGCTTTTCACCGCTTTCCACCTGTAGGAAGTGAACCAAGGGAAACGCCCCGCAAACCCCCTACCAACACGTTATAAACAACGTCCTTCAGAAAAGGAGCCAGGATCTGGATCGCTCGGACACAAACAAACGAGTCGGCTCACGGACAACCGCGTCGACGAAAGGCCAAACCACGCTACCCCAGCACAGGCAGTTGTCGTCATCTTCAGGGTCGTCAGAACTAAGGAGTCATCCTTCCGTTGCCAAAATCGTCAGAGTCGACCAGGCTCTGCTTGAAAAAGTCTATAATGAACAAAACAGACAGCCGACAGCTCTGCTTCAAGAAAATGAAATGTCCGCCAGAGATCATCTTTGGCTTCTGGTCGAGCCTACTGATGCTTGCCGCTCATGTGGCCGTCTTCTGTCGGCCTCACCCAGGTTCAAAGAGTCAAGTCGTTTCTGGTTATCGTCCGTGGCGGCATCCGATTCGTCAAGTGACGCCCCGGCTCCATTGGCGGCCGAGCCGTTCGTCTTACGTTGAGCTGCTAGGTCCTTGATGGCAGCCCACTTTCTTTCCCTCATAGCTTCTCGAGCCGCGGCATTGTTCTGCTGCTCGGTGTACTCGTGGGAACAATCGTCAAACAGCTGAGGATTGATCTCCATGAACAGCTTCATAGCGTTGTACACCATGCCATGAATAGTTCTATAATGACTGTTAGCAAATACACTTCCTGCATATACGATTAAGCGTAAAGCATACCTGTTCCAGTGACCCTTCGAGTTTTCGTAAAGTGGCGCAAACATGATCGGCAAAATAATCTCGACGTTGTCGCTGACCAGGTTGCAGAAATATTCGTTGTTCCAGAAGTAAAGGGCCCTTTCGGCGACCTGGAAATGGGGGCTTGCCACCGATTTGGCAAGCTGATGGAACAGAGGTTCCTGAACTTTGGCAAATTCGGCTGGGTCCATAACCTCAAAAATGTCCTCGACCTCGTTCAGAAACATGACCTCCTTGGTGCTGTTGACCTTGGGCCAGTACCGGAGCAGTCCCAAGACGACTTCCTCAGTGAGGGATGCATCCTTTTCCAAAAACTGGACAATGCAATACGCCAGCTGTGGGTGATACATGCTGAGGCTCTTTACCTTGTGCATCGGAATCAGAACGCGGGTCAGGAACAGCTTGTGCTCTTCCTTCAGAGGCAAGGCGAAACCGTTGATGATGGAGCCCAGAATCTCTAGGAGCTCGGCAATACCATTGAATCGTTCTGTCTCGTATGTGAACTGGAAGAAGACGTTGTTTATGGATCGTCGGATGAAAGAGCGAAGGTTGAGGAATTTGCCGTAAATTCTGTGGAGGGTGGTCTTCAGGAAGTCCCTCTCTCTAGGATCCTCGGAGTCGAACAGCTCAAGCAATTGCAAGACGAAACTGTGGTCAATGTATGCCTTGGCAATGTTGGTGTTGAAGTCTTGACTCTCAATGAAGCGCAGGAAGAACTCGTAGACTACCTGGATATGCGGCCAGGCGACTTCGAGTACAGGCTCATCCTCCTCGGGATCAAAAGCCTCGCCTTGAGGGTTGATGGGAGGCGGGATCGGACGGAACAAGTTCTTGGCAAACATCTCCACGACACGCGGATACATGGGTTCTGTGATGACCTGGCGGTTGTTGGCGACATAGTCGAGCAGCTCATGTAGGGCCAAACGCTTGATCTCTTTTGATTTCATGTCGGCACTGGCATCGTTGAAGTCGAAAATGACGTTGCATTGGTCAATCTTCTGCATGAAGAGCTCCTGGCGGCGGTTCGGCGGGACTTCGTGGAAGCCCGGCAGCTTCTCGAGTTCACGGTGTGCAGAGATATCGAAGCGTGACGAATGGGTCCTCTTCGGTGTGCGAAGCCCTTCAGGGACATCCTTTGGGGTCTGGTGGAGGCGATCGAACATGAGTGACTTCTGTCCAGCCTTTGGTGGTGGGAGGTCACCAGGCATCGTTTCGGCAGCCCCTGGGGGAGGAACATGCTGGATCAAAATCAAAGTAAGTTTGCTGGCGCAACATGTGTAACGGAGCGAGAGGGTCACTTACGGGTGCGCTCGGGCTGATGACAACAGTCGGCGGTAGAGGTCCGCCGTGCCTCGAAGGTGTTCCAGCGCCATTGGGAGATACTAGCCCACCAAACCCATCAACGGCGCCTTGTCCACCTGCGGGAGCTTGTCCCTGGCCGCCGAAATGGTCTCCCCCCAGACCAGAATTGGGAGGCAATGGCTTGTTTCTCGGATCGTTGAGATTGGACGTGGATGACGATGGGGTCTGTACGGGGGACTGGGTGTCGCGTCCAGAGGAGGGCGAAGCTGTGCCATCTTTCGAGTCCTTATTCTTCTTGGACGACTTGCCATCGCTCTTGCCTCGTGAGAGCTATTGTAAATGGAACAGGCATGATTAGCATGGTGTCTTTGGCGACGTCGTGACGCAGGGAGGGGTAAGCCACGCGCAATGCAGCAACGGGCGCAGGGTAGAGTAGCTTAGGTTGGCACTCACGACTCTCTGGCTGAAGCGCTTCATGCCGCGTGATCAGCAAGTATAATTTATCTCGACAGTCTGCGTGCTGTTACTGTATCTAGCCGAGAGCGATTCTGGCTCGCGATGAAGCAGGGCGTCGCAACTCGACGCGAGGCTTGCGGGAGGCGCGGCCCAAGATACGGGGTCCAAGGATGGGCTGTCGAGGTGGATGGCGGTGTTGGAAGCGGGGACAGTGGTCGCCTGAGGCCAATTCTGGCAATGTCGGAGACAGCGTCAGGCAGTGACGCTAGAGGTGGCCACTACAACAATCTTGTCGGGTGGGAATGGCAGGAGATGATGCCGTGCAGGAGGGCAGAGAGGCGGCAGCGTCTGGCGCGGTGAGGAGGCCCGTACGCATCGACAGCGGCGAGACGGCAGTCGAGCGGTACAGGGGCGGATCGACGGGGGTCTCTCGGGGGGCCAGAGGACACTTGCAACCAGGAGAGGCTGGACGAGTCTGCTGTCTCGCTTTCGTGGACAATGGCAGACCAGTGATTGGCAGCGGAGCGGCAACCCAACTGAGGCAGTCGAGAAGAGGCGGAAGCACGGTAAAGCAGAGGCGTGCTGAGGTTGGCGGGCTCAGAAACAATGGGATTGAGAGAGGTGATGGAGCAGCAGCGGCGCAGTACCAGGACGGAGCAACGACAACAGCCAGGCGTGGTGGTGGCTCGCGGGACAGGTTGAGAGATGGCTGCTGGGTGCTAAGGTGGAGAACGGGGCCCGCAGGCCAAGGCGTGAGTGCGAGAGGGCGATGCAGGGCAGGGAGGGCCCCTGGGCTGCATCGCATCGCAATGGGTGGCAGGATGAGGAGGGGGGGGGGGTCAGCCGCCCGTGGCCACCTGGTGGGCAGCACCCTCGCGTCCACAACGGGCGGGGCATGGAGCTGTTGGCAGCTGGAGCCCCTCGCGCACCTGGCCTGGCTGGCCCGCTCAAGATGGAAGGGCCCTTCTCCTGGACACCTGACGCATAGTTACCGTGCGCCTTGTGCTTCCAAGTCGGCATGCCTCGAGGGCCTCTATAATTGCAATCTATCAACAGGCTCAATGCGACTCTGTGTCGGCAAGGATTGGCGCATCTTGAAATCGTCCCTGCCTCGGATCGCCCTGATGTGTGCCAGCGCAGAGCGACTTGGATTGCGGATCAAGCAGAGAGAAACACTATGCCCGTCTCGGGTGGGAGTTGCCGGGAACTCGAGTCTAGAGGTCGGCCAGCCATCCAGCCAGCCAGCTATCGCGGGCCCGCGTCAGCGATTGTTACAGTGCCTGGAGATCAGCACGAGTTTCGACTAGCTCATCACTGCCACCACAGCTGGTGGTCTTGACGGAAGCTGGGATGCTTTGGAACAATTCTGAGAGCAACGTTTTGCACCTTAATATGAGTGTAATTGCGGCCCTCCAGAGCCAGGCTCGTCGTCGCCCCAGCCGCCACAGTCCCATTCCCATGGTCAAGATGCGGGGCTCCTTGTCTCTGGCTGGGCAAGTCAAGGTCACAAGACCGTGGGCTCTTTTCAAGCTCCAGCCTCCTGTCACCCCAAAGCACAAAGACAGCCACGCTGCGTGCTTGTCTTCTTCAGCGCATTCGCCAAGAGCTGTCTGGCTGCAGCCCTGGGACTCCATGACCCGGGCACGCTGCTCCGTCCTCAGGCATATCAGGAACAGCCTCAGCGCATGCCGCTGTCGTCGCCGTTGGTGGCGTCTCTCTCAAGCTAGGCTTCAATTGGGGGCGGCAGCCCTGCGGGCGCTTGTTCCTTGTCCCTTCTAAGCGTTGGTGCTAGCGCAATCGTGTACTTGCTGTACTTCTGTTGGTCATGCCGCCATGGGAGGACCCTGGGAAAAGCAAGGGGCTACGGCGAACCGACGTGTATTGATCAGCGATGCAGCACAGCACTGCAGCTTCACATATTCGTCCTCCACCCAGATCCGAGTCTCGTGCAAGTACAGTACAGCGTCTTGGATAAATCAGTATCTTCGCTACGCTGATGGTAATTTGGAAGATGCGATCGTGTGATATCCACTGGGAGTTGGCCACAGTGCATCTCGACAGTGTTCTCCCATCGCATGCACGGTAAGCGCAATTCAATTCTCGAGATGAATCCATCAACAAGCCCATGCCCTAGCTCGATGCTTGTGGGATATCAAAAGACACTGTTGTCGTCCAGCGTCCTGATGCTACGTAAATTGCCAGTACGGAGCTCCAAATCGCAGCCCAAGCAGGACCTCAAGGCACCCCAGCATCCGACTTCTGGTAGATCGAAGATTTGCTCTCTCTTAGCACTTGCGTAACGACGATCAAGCCCACTCACTTCACACGCTCACCATAACGCCACTTTTCTTAGCGATAAACATCGGACAACTCGTCGCCCGGGCGTTTCTTCCGCCAGTGAACCTGAGTTCTTACGCTGCCATGGTCTTTTGAGAGTAAAACACCAACAACACCAGGCTCGATAGTCTCGACTTCCCATACCGTGGGCCATCACAACGGTGGGTGATCGTAGCCAAGAGCTTCGCGTAGTCTTGGGCTCGGGCCTGGGACCTCATTCTTCCATGGGTGTTCGTGAATGCCATTTCCTGTGACGATGGAACCGGAAAGCCAGCTAGCAGAAGAGCCTGCAACGGCGCCTCGGCTTGCTATTCCTGCCACGAATATCGTCGCGATCGAGCATCCCAGCCCAGTATACAATCTAGAGGCTGGTCTCCAGTCCTTTGGGCCGCAACCGAAGTTCGACAAGGTATGCAAAATTCTGATCTCATGCTCATACTCACGAGACGGGGTGTTGACAATCTCCGCCGCCAAGCTTCTCTTGCCCACGATAGAGCCGCACGCGCTGCCTCTCTGGTTTCGTCCACACAATCCGGCAGCAAAACCCATCACCTCTCACCATGCAGCCTCGAACAACATTCTGCTCAGGGTCACTGTCCCACGGCGGACTGGTCGCAAACGGAGGCGTGGTACCGACGATGAGTTTCAACCAGCCACACCGGCGCCGCCTCGGAGATCTCATGTTGGTCGTGTGGGTTCGGCCAACAGGCAAGACAAACCCAAGTCTATCCTGCGTCGCCTGCAGGACAATGCCGAGGAATACCGTGTCGAGGCGGTCGGCATGATCCACGACAGTCACCGGTATCGAGGCCTCGCGGACTTTCAGTTTGCGAACGCGGACAATCCATTTCTGGTGAACGTGGCGAAGCACCTTCTCCCACTCGATCGTGAGTCACGGCCTTGAACCTCTTCCGAGCATCTTGGCCACCTTGACTAACACGGCAGTGACAGCAACCAAATATCGCGCGTTCAAGCTCACTCCAGGCATGACCTCCAAACCCGGGGACGACATTATCCCGCCGCCACATTTCACGGACCGCACCGTCCCGTTCTTCTATCAATACGAGCAGAACCCCTTGGTCAGGATCGAAGGAACGGATGCCGATGGCGAACCACTTTTCGTCAATGTCCAGGGCAAGAACATTCTCACGTACAGCCACTTCATCCCCACAGACCACTTCCCCGTACCCGACAAGCCGAAGCGGCTTGAGACCGACACAGCACCGGTCAAGGACAATGTGCTCAACGCGATCAGGAAGGCCTTTGACGAGCGGCCGATCTGGACGCGCCGGGCACTCAGCAACCGGCTCCGCGGGCTCGTGACCGAGAACCAGATGAAGGTCGGCATCCCGCTCGTGGGGTACCAGTTCCGCGGGGGCCCCTGGCGCGACGCCGTCATCAGGTACGGCATCGACCCGCGCAGCGACCCCAAGTACCGGATCTACCAGACGCTGCAGTTCAAGCTCGTCCGTAACGTGGTCGGCCAGACCAAGCTGCCTTGGCAGACGATCCGCAAGGGCCAGACGAAGCACTACGCGCCCGACAACGTGCTCAGCCACCTGTGGGATGGCGAGGGCTACAGCACCGACGGCAAGTTCTGGCAGCTCTGCGATGTGACGGACCCGTTCCTCCGCAGGATGCTCGACGGCGCCCCCCTGCGGCCAGAATGCGACCTCGCCGAGTCCGGGTGGTACTACAAGGCCTTCTGGGCCAAGGTCAAGCTCTTCATGAAGGCAAAGATGGTGGCCATCAAGCACGGCCGCATGGGCAGCGACGCGGCCGACGAGCCCCGCAGGGACAACTACATCTACAACTCGTACCTCGCCGCGCGCCTGCGCAACATCCCCGACGACTCGGACGACAAGATCAACCCGCTCCTCAACCCGCTCCTGTACCCCATGTCCGATCTCAAGGGGATCGCCGGCAAGTGGCGCAACAGCAAGCTGTACCCGGAGGACCGCGGGCGCACAGAAAAGAGCACGAGGAGGTCTGCCCCTGGCACCGCGGCCGCGGCAGGCAGTGTTGCTACTGCTGCTGCTGCGAGTGCTACTGCAGACGACGCCGAGGGCGATGGTGGTCATGATGCCGGTGACGATGGCGCCGCGTTGCTGGACGACGACGACGAGGTAGACTTTGGCGGACCCGCTGGAGACGATGGCCCGGATTGGGAAGAGGAAGTCGCTAGTGGTGGCGACGACGATGACGACGAGGACGACGACGATGAGGACCAAGACGAAGATGAAGATGAGGATGAGAATGACGACAGGGAAGATGATGGCATCGACGACGGCGCTAGTCCAAGTAACCGCGATGATGACGATAATGTAGTCGAGGACGATGATGATGACCCAGCCGAGCCTGATGATGGCAACGAGGACGAGGATCCAGGATCGGATGATCACGCTGGCGACGATTCGGACACCGTCATGGGATGATGGTGGACCGGAGTGCATTCCCTGTACGTCTGGTAGATGGCTTGCATCATTTGTGCTTATTTTGCCTGGCACTCTAGAGTAGTTGTTCCGGATGGTTTGCTTTCAGTGTAAGAACATCTTGTGGCAAGTCAATGGAACTCAAATTCGCATGGATGCAAATGCATGGCTATCTACCTATCTAATTGGTTTTGGGTACTCCGAAATGAATTTTGCAAAGCTCAAGTATGCTATCCTCCGTGGCAATGGTCCTTCTGTGGCTGAACCAGTTACGTGTCCAGCTGTTTCGCCATCAAGACTCCGCTTACCGGCTCAAAAATCCATGGAGGTTTTTGTCCTCGCCATCGACATTCCTTCTTGAGTCTCAGCTGTGACTTCGTCCTTTTGTCTCGTCTTTCCTTGATCCCCGCTGCTGACCAGGTCGACTTTCATACAGCATCCCCTTACATGAGCACGCCTCTTGGGACGAGGCATGTTATCGTGCAACATATCGTTCTATAAGATCATTCCCGTAACGACTTCGCCCCAACGCCGGAATCGCAAGAGTAGCTCTTGTGAGCTGTGTCGATCACCACGCAACATCTCATGCCAAGGTCTGCTGGCGTATTGGTATCCCCAATTATGTGCTGAAGAATGCTTGAATGGCACGATGCCTGCTTGAAGGCCCCCAGCGACAAGGCACCAAGCGCTCGTGATATGTCGCCCCTCATGGTATTTGCTCATAGGCCATACGTGGTGCGCAAAGCCTGTTGGTCTTGTGGTTGGAGTTGCGAGAGAAATTGATCGAACTGGGGGATCATTTGGCGGTAAATGTTGATCGTCTAAACCCGCAATGTTAGTATATACTAATCTGTTGGATTAGATTTCATCATACCTTCAGAAATTCGTCGTGCAGGGCGCTCTTCGCATTGTTTCGCAATTTGAGATCTCGATATCTCGCCACTGTCGTAAAGTAGTGGAGCAGTGACTTCTCCATTGCTTGCGGGTTGTGCTCCACAATCTGGACAAATCCGCGGAGGGCAGTGACTTTCTCATCTGATGGGTCGACATCATCCATCGACGCCAAGAATTCTTCAGCGAACTGACCGAGATGTGGTGCAAGCTGTGCGCTGCAACTGTATCCTAGCCGGCCAAGGGCAATGGCGGCATTCTCTGTGACGCCCTTGGGGATTCCAGGGTTCGTAATGATCTTGTAGAAGCCCTCAAACAGGTCTGCCACAAAAGGGGTCAAATCAGCGCTTGGCTGGATCGCAATCTCGCCAGCAGACCAACAAGCATTGTTCACGACGCTGAAACCGCTCTCGATATCCTCGTCGAGAATGCTTTCGAGATCGAGCTGCCTCAAGAGAACCGGAACTACCTTGCCAATGAGGGGCTGGAGCTGTCCAAACACATACTTGGCGCAGTCACCAAGGAGAGCATAGGCAGACTGCCGGACTTCGTCGCTGGGATCCTCCATACAAAGAATCAGAAGCTCGAAGAAAGCTGGCTGAGACTGCTCAACAAGTTTCGAGGCCTTTTCGGACTCTAGAGCCTGGATGATTGCACTAAGAAGGTCCAGGCTTGTGATAAGGAAGTCCTTGTTGGGCACGTCCAAAGACGGATTGGTGGCTAGCGCAAGGGTGGCCTCGAGATTATGGTGGATGATCTGAACACAGCGCTGGAAGACCGGCTCGGCGAAGGGAGTGAATGCGTCTCCGAGTGCCATGGCGACGTACGACAGGCACTCCAGGAGTGGGAAGAGCTCGCGACTCTGGTCATCGAGCTTCCTCCAGCGTTCAATAAGAGCTGGCATCAGAGCGTTGACTAGCTCGGGCTGGGCGAGGACTGGGCCGATGGCCTCGGCGAGGGTCTGCACACAGTCGTACAAAATGTACATGTTGCGGTCCTTGTACTTTGCGAAACACTTGACGAACTGCTGGATGATAGGCCCGCTGTAGGGTTCCATCTTCTTGCCTGCCTTCTCTTCCAGGTTTGCAAATGCCGAAGCTCCTGCCTCTTGCACCTTCTTGTTCTTGTCGAGCATCTTGTGCAGGATACCCTCCATCATAGGCTCAAAGTATTGTTGCTTTTGCGCTGGGTCGGCCAAGCTGGCAGCCCAAGACGAGTATCGAGCCAGGGTCCAGCAGTTTATTTGACGAACGACCGGCTCGGGATCATTGAGCAGCGAGATCAGATAGGGGATGAGTTCAGGAAGATGAGGTGTGACGACGTCCATGCAGCCTTCAGCAACGGCGCCCAGCGCCAGAACAGCAGCCTCTCTGTACGGCCACTCTTCATGCTTGAGGTTTTTTGTTAGGTAAGGCAGGATGCATTGGAAGACCGGGCTCCGATAGTCGCGGGCAAACACGTCTAGGGCAGCTGCGGAGCACTTTCGCAAGGTCCACTTCTCGTCCGGGCTCGCGTCGTCATCGTCGTCTTCATCCACCTCGCCGTCCTCGAGATCATCGTCCATATCTGCCAGCTTCTGGTACGCATTGCCGTTCTCAGCAGCGTCGGACGAGTTCTCCGCATTACGCGCCGACGACTTCTTCGCAAATTGGGGCTTGATGTCTTCTTGTCGATCTTCTTCCTCCTCATCATCTGACGCACCACCAAGCAGGGCAATATCCTCTGGGCTGTAAACCATACAGTCAAGAAGAACAGGGATGATCTTCTCGATGTAAGGCGTCAAAGATTGCCAAAGGTTCTCGTGCTCGCCTACGGCCAGCCAGAATTCGGCAGCGTCGCACGCCAACTCTTCATCGTCATCCTTCTGCTGTGAAATGATGTAATCGACAAGGCCAGATAGATGAGGTTGGAGCTTATCAGGGCGAGTCTCGACAAGCTGGACAAAGGCCCGGCAGACCTGGCGGCGGACATCAGGATGGGAGTCTGCAGCAAGAGCAAAGAGAGCCTGTAGCAGGTCGTCGATAGAGTTGTACATCGCCTGAGATTGGCGTGGTGTGAAAACGTTGATTGCCGAGAGAGCACCAGCCCGGACCTTGGGCAACGGGTTCTTGGTGGCCTCGATGAGCTTGGGCAGGATGAAGTTGAGCGGGCGCTGGCCATTGAGCTCACGCTCGAGAAGTTTTGTGTTGTCCTCACAGATCTTCGACAAAGCCGCCATCGCACCCTCTTGGCCCTCATTCGGCACCTGACCTGTTTCGTTTCCAATCATCTTGAGAAGCTCTGGCAGCAATTCAGGCCAGCTCATGAGTCCACCGCGGCGAATGAGCTCCGTAGCGATATTGCCAGCGTAGTTGCGGATCTGCGAGTTCTTGTCCTGCAGCGTCATGGGTACCGACAACTTGATCAGAGATAGGCTGGACTCGGGGATCTGCTTGAATGCGGTCCTGATGTTGTTCTTCAACATGATTGCGGCGGCGCTCCGCACGAGGTGGTAGTCGGCTGGAGCTGTCTGCAGCCCCTCGGGAGCATCAGCACTCGAGAAGAGATACACAAGGTAGTTGTTGATATCGGGCGACTCCTTGGCTTGGTTCAACATCTATGAAGACAGGAGTTTAGCGCACTGTTCTTGTCACCAGGAGAAGGACGAGTATTCTAGATATGGATCACGATGCGGCGCAGTCAAGCGGTGGGTGCGACACTGTGTGCTTACAATCTCGGCTTGCTTCTGGGCATTCTTGTCGGAGCCACTGAGCGAGTCCTTGAGGCATTGCGCGAGCTGCCTCAGGGACTCTGGCGACGGTGACCACGCCATGACGGGCAGGTTGGCGGGGCACGAGGTGGCGATGGCCGCAAAGATGGTCAACGCCGGAAACTTGACGGGGACGACGTCGTTTCGTGAGTGCCTAAGGCCGGTACCGTCAAAGTTGCAGTCGCCAGGTGTGAGCTTGGAGGTGCCTCAATGAGCTGTCGAGGCGGGCAGTGTGGGAAGTGGCCAGCGGTCGTCTTGGGCCACTGCAAAATCGCAGTCCTGGCTGGTGGGGGGCTTGGAGTGAAAGTGATGGGCGCTTCAGCAGGAAATCCTCAATTTAGGGAGGGGACCGCCTCCCCGCCCGCATAGGTACTTCTGCTCGGGCGGACTTCCGGGCACCACACAAAGTACCTCCTACGCTCACCAATGAGCACGATACCTGTCCTAGGTTAATGTATTTTAGTGACCTCCCCCAGCTGAGCACCGCGGCTGGTGGTAACTGCATCATCGGATTTCGAATCGATACAACATCTGTCATGTCGTGCGCCGAAGCGCCTGCCCTGCTGCTTCCTTGTCCCCTTCTGGTTTGCTTGCCTGCTTGCTTCCTGTTCCCTGCTTGCCAAGCCACAGCGCGACCCTAGCAGGCTAGCACGTCTCGCTGGTCCTAGTCACTCGTCATGAGATCTTGGTTACACAACGGCTGCAGGTGGCGGCAAGACGCCTGCGGTGCACAGTCTTGGGAGAAGTCAATGCTCAGAATCCCGCCAGAGTCCATTGCTCGAATCGCTGCTCACCGTCCCCCGTCGTGCCAACGGAAGTGGACAGTATTCTCTGCCGATGTGGCCGTCTTATCAAACGGATATGGCTCTGATCTCGAAATGGACAGGTGTGCTTTTTGAGTTGACGCCCGGCAGTATCTCAATCAGTGCGCATGCCTTTCTAGGGACCTAAGTACGATAGGTGTCTATCTATCGTGTCTGTTCATGCGCGAATCAACCTTCCCGAAGACCCACGGCTCGTAAGATTCGAGGTGGACAACGGGGAAGCATCATGGCAGCACATGGCAGCACATGGCGGGGTGAGCACTCAGATAGGCAGAGAAATCTGCGACGATAGCGATGTGGGGAAGGCCCACAGGCGCCAGGGGAGGTGGGCCCTTGCACCACCATAGTAATCGGAACACCTGGACGATTCCTGTCGTTCAAGTCCACACAGCATGGACATCCTTCAGTCAACATGCTGCGGCTTGGTTGAGAGTCAGGTATTATACAAGACGTGATCAATCGAGTGGACTAACCTGCCCATTGTTTGGATGTTACGCTTTTGTCCTTTTCCCCTTTCCTGTTTCGCACTTCTCGTGTTTGACGAAACAATGACAGGGCAATCACACAATGCCATCACGATTCAGTATTGATCACCTGCCCAAGCGGGCCAATTCGAAAAATTGCAATCAAAATGTGACAAGTATCATGCCCTTGAAATACAGACGTAGGGAATCCCGTATGTCGTTCATCGAATGAACCTCACTCAAATTTCAGCAACAATCGCCGCGGCTTCAGTAGAATGTGGTGGGTATTGTGCCCAATCCCAGATTCTGTCGAACGAGCGAAACGCACTATGGCCATGATATACTTTTCAGCTGTTGGAAAGTGTGCCATTAGGTTGGTCTATGAGGCCAGCCTGACGCAGCTCCCGGGAAATCACGGCTACCACTTGCTTGAATGCTTCCATTTCTTCCTCGACTGTACCGCCGAGGCCAGTGTTGACGAGACTGATCGAGTTGGCCACATACACCGGCATGCCTGTCTTCCTAACCAGGATTTTTGCCAGTCGTGTTGTGAATTCTAATGTCGCCTCTACATGATATATCGTCGTCGATAATGGCTGGTGTGCGTCGTACTTCTGCAGCTTAGGTCAGCGACACTGAGCAGTATCTCGGACGCCGTGCCCGTAGGACATGGTTGAAGGGGCATAACTTGCATTAGGAAGAGCGTACACGAACGAGCCAAGCGGTACTGGCTTTCCTACATCTTCGGCCGCAACTGTAGTTAGGTACAGCACAATGACTTTGGCCTTGATGCTCAGGCGTAAGTGGATCTTGGTGTCCAGTGACCTGGGTAGGGCGAAAGAGACCTGAGTATCAGTGGCGAGTCTGTGTGCCATCGTGTGTAGCTGCATATGTCCAGGGATTCTAATTATGTGACCAGCGACTTAGGATATGTGATCAGCACGCCGGCTCAGGTTAGGCGAAGCGGTGTTTGTCGATGTCTTGCCAGCATTGGAACTGGAAGGTGAAGGGCTCCAAGCGCTCATGCCTGCTGGCCGAGCTCCACCAAGACGATGCGGCCCGTTGGTGACAGTGCCGCACTTCTCAGCTACTGTACAAATCATGCCATTTGCACCACCTCAGCATGTGCAAACATGACTGCATCAGAGACAACAGCATGGAGAAAAGTCAAGACTCTGCGTGAGGGCTACCGCGCCTATCGCCAAGCCTGTGAGCAGCCACTTTTTCAGCATGACCTGTCCGCATTGACGGGAGACGGCGCTTTTGATAATCACCCACCCCTCCATCATCCCACCCACTATCTTTTATCTTGGCCCCGCCACCCTTCACAGGGTCCAACATCCAAGAGACAACAGCATCAACCTGACACCAACGACCATTGTGCGGGTACATCGACAAAATGGCGCAGACGGAGTCGGCCTTCGAGGCAACAGAGCAGTCGCACTGGGCCGGAGTGGACGAGACCATCGAGGATCCCGAGGAGGAGAGGGTTATATTCTGTGCTCTCGATTCCTTCAGGTTAGTCAGCTGTCGTTGAGCCTAGGACGTTGGTGTAGATGCTTCTTCTGTCTGCACGAGCCCAAGAAACTATTAGAGTAGTGCACGAATAGACAAAGACTAACGTCTGGCTTGTAGTCAATATGCCAAAACTGCACATCTGAACAGTACACATTTTCGCAGGCAGGCGTTCTACGCATTACCCCAAGCGCACTGGCAGATGCTGGCAGCACCTCCGTTCAACTACCTGGACACACTAAATAGAGTGGACGACGCCATCGAGAGCAACGCCGCGCTGGCGCGGACGATCGTCAAGCATGGCCTGATCTCCTTTGGCATGGTTCAGTCTGGAGCCGAGGTTTCAATGCCTGACGAGTGGGCGGGGATAGCCAAAGGCCAGGACGTGGACAAAGCACGCAGCACGTTACGGCAATTCTACCGCGATTGGTCAGCGGAAGGCGCGACTGAGCGTGATGCTTGTTACGGACCGGTCTTTGAGGCATTGGAGGCTGAGAAATCAAGATATCCTGATCGGACACCACTAAGTGTCTTGGTACCTGGGGCTGGCTTGGGCCGACTGCTCTTCGACCTATGCCTACGTGGGTATAACGGCGAGGGAAATGAGATCTCATATCACCAGCTGTTGGCGTCTTCGTATATCCTCAACCATGCTCATCGCGCCGGCGAGCATGAGATCTTTCCGTGGATTCACTCCTTCTCCAACCACAAAAGCCGCAGCAACCAATTCAAGTCATACAAGATTCCCGACATCCACCCCGCGACAGCACTCACTCAAGCTCAGACTCCCGGCACAATGCAGATGTGTGCGGCCGATTTCCTGTGCTTGTACAGTGACGACAATCACAAAGAATTGTACGATGCCGTAGCGACAGTCTTCTTCCTCGACACGGCGCCAAACTTGATTCGGTATCTGCAGGTCATCAAGCACTGCTTGAAACCAGGCGGTGTTTTGATCAACGTCGGGCCGCTTCTATGGCATTGGGAGAACCAGGTACCGGGCCACCATGGATATGATGGTGAGGGAGACTATGACGAGAAGAACTCTCTGGGCATCGCTGATCCGGGGAGCTTCGAGCTCAGCGAAGAGGAAGTCATTGCTCTTGTTGAGCAGATGGGCTTCGTGATGGAAAAACGAGTGTCAGACATCAGGGCACCATACGTACAAGACCCACAAAGCATGTTGCAGACGGTATATAGTGCGAGCCACTGGGTCGCCAGAAAGGCACCGCAGCCATGAAGAATATCTGCGCCGGAGCGACATGGTGCACACACGCGCGCGCGCAATGAACATCATATATCAGAGCGGAGACGGATGCCATGAGACTCGACAAGGGCACATTCGAAGGACAAAATAGATTCATCCATCCCAAGAGCGATCAAGTGGCTGCAAGAACAGGTGAACTTCAGAACAGCAATTGATTGGGGGCAACCGTAAGGCTACGGGTTGGGGAGACAAAGTGCCCGTTCAGGCTAGCGCCCGACGCTGAGGCGTTGTGCCTCGGCATCTCCCCAGATCGCCCCAGCCCCATGTCCGACTCCGGGGAAACGCCCCAAGTTGACGTGCAGGGGCTGTGATCAGTTCGTTGCAAGCCTCTCCCAGATACCTCTTCCTCCACTCTGCAACTTCAGGCCCTCTCCCAGTCACTTTCACAGTTGGGATCAATTGTGCAGCCAAGCCTGAACACCGAGTTGAATTGAGCTCTCCCACAATCTCCTCGCCACCAGATCAACCTTCGCCTTCAACTTGTTCTTCCTCCCACCACAATTCACAATGTCCGAGGTAGACCTGGTCGACTTCCCGTCGCTCTTCTCGCTGAAGGGCAAGGTGGCCGTCGTCACCGGCGGCTCTCGCGGTCTGGGTCTCAATGCCGCCTCAGCGTAAGTCACACTTCAAGACCGTGGTTCTGACTCTCTCACACAATACGGGCAGCTCTTAGAGAGGGGCTGCCAGTTTGTTTGTTGCCCCTTCGCCTGCGAACCTTTCCAACGACCAATAGAGCCACTTAGCTGACCCGCCACACGGGGGATAAAACCAAACAGCCTCCTCCAAGCAGGCTGCAGCAAAGTCTTCATCACCAGCCGCAAGGCCAAGGCCTGCGAGGAGGCCGTCGCCCAGCTCAACGCGCTGCCCAACCTGCAGCCGGGGGCTAAGGCCATCAGCGTGCCCGCCGACTCGGCCACGCTCGCGGGGATCGAGTCGCTCGTGGCCCAGGTCAAGCAGCACACGGACACGATCGACATACTGCTGGCCAACGCGGGCGCGACGTGGGGCGAGGCGTTCGAGACGCACCCGGAGCACGCCTTCAGCAAGGTCATGGACCTCAACGTCAAGTCGGTCTTCTACACGGTGCAGAAGTTCGAGCCGATGCTCAAGAAGGGCGCCTCCGTCGAGGACCCGGCCAGGGTCATCATCACCGCCAGCGTCGTGGGCCTGGGCATCGGCACGCTCGGCAAGCAGGCCACGTACGGGTATACCGCGTCCAAGGCCGCCGTGCTGCACCTCGGGCGCAACCTCGCCGTCGAGCTCGGCCCCCGCCACATCCTGGTCAACTCCATCTGCCCCGGCTGGTTCCCGACCAAGATGGCCACCGGCCTGCTCAAGCTCAGCGGCGGGCTCGAGAAGCATGCAAAGGCCAATCCCATGGGCAGGCTCGGGCGGCCAGAGGACATTGCCGGTGTCGTCGTGTACCTCGCCAGCAGGGCCGGGAGCCATGTCAACGGCGAGGCTATCGAGATTGATGGCGGTGCCCTGTGGGCACGTGGTGCGATGCTCGACGTCTCGAGCCCAGAATCGAAGCTCTAGTTTTGTCCAATTTGGTGGAATTGCTCCAGCATAGCGGCTCTATCACCTGAGAAAAAAAAGCTTTCCAGGGAAATGATGGGTATAACTTAATCAGAAAAAAATAAAAATAAAATATGTACGATGATCGCTAAACTTCGCCCAAGTGAACGTCTATCGCCGCGCATTTATGTGTTCTTGCTCAATCAACAATCATAAGTACATGTTTCAAATCCCGCGTCATCGTTTCTGGCAATGGTCCCATCGGTTCTTTGTCTTGATTCCATTATTCAGGAAGCCGGTCCTGCTGAGGAAGCATGGATGCTGCCTCTACTGCTCATCCGTTGCATGAACAGGCCGTTGCCGAACTTCTCCCGCCGACGCGGAAGCAGGCTGGAAATCGTTGCTTGCACCGGCTGCATCTTCTGGTTGCGCATCCGTGTCCGGCGCCTCGCTATCACCTGAGACTTGCTCAGTAGATTCTTGAGCGTCGGGCGGTGCCTGTGCAGCTGTCTGGGCTGCTTCTGCCGCCGCCGCCGCTTCCGCTTCCACACGTTGCCGCTCTGCCCGAGCTTCTGCCTCCAAATGCTCGATGTGTCTTTCAGCAATACCTGGCGCAATGCTGGCAAGAAAAATGAGGCCAGCACGTTCCAGTCTACGAACAATATCCAGCAACCAGTTCGCGTTCGCATTGCGCCGCTGTTCCACGAGCCTGGCCGCTGTATCCGCCGGGTTGGGCTCACGCGCTCGTCCGACATTTCCGTTGGCATCAGCGCCTCCCACAGGGTTTCGAGCAGGGCGCGGTCTGCCATGATTGTCTGCCAACGGCATGAGGTTTTCGATGTGTCCTCGCAGAGGAACCCAGAATTGCTCTATCAGTGGGTTCAGTATTCCTGTGTTGGCGAGAAATAAGCCAACTGCAATAGAGATGACTGTGATCCAGCGGGACCAGCTCGACTCCGGGGTAGTGAACCACCAGACAAATAGTACAAGTCGGATTATCATCCATACATGAGGCCAGATTGGTATCATGCGGATCTCTTGGGCTTGAACACCTGGCTGCGCGACACCAGCTTGAGCTACAACATTGTCTAGTTGGGGAGCTGCTTGTTGGGGGACTGCGGCACCAGGTAGCCCTTGAAGCTGATCATTCTGTACATGAGGAGTCTGGGGGCCTGGTGTACCGTGTGCCGCCGGGGCAAACGGGTTCCCAACTTGTTGAGTTAATGGGGTTGGGATTGCACCAGAGAATGGTGACAACGCTGCTGCTATGCCCGCCCCTCCTGCAAAAGGCGATGCCCTACGTCCCTGAGGCGTATAATATGTCTGTTGGTCGCTGTTGACGAGCAGAGCGCGTGGCCCTGAAGGGGACGAGAGTATGTAAACCTCGGGGTTTCTTGCCGCTGGTGCGGCTTGAGGCAACGGCGGGGGAGGAACCGCGAACATGGGCCTCGTGAAACCAGCCGCTCGCAATGGATCAGGGGTGCCGGCGGCGCTCGCAGTCCGCGATGGTACGGTGACACCAGGTGGAATAGGATGGGCTGAATGATTGCTGGCCAGAGTTGCTAACGACGAAGTGCTCGCATTCCGGCGCATAGCATCAGTCAGTGTCCTGGTTGCCTGATTGACATCTGCTTGATGGAGGATGCTCTGGACATCGTTTCCAGTGAAAGGTCCTCCACTAGGCGGAACCGATCGCGGCTGCTGGGGAACGTTGTTACTAGCACCAGGTGGTTGGAAGCCGTGCTGCATATCCGGGCGCGAAAATGGCGAGCTTGTCCTTGCGTTCCGCATCAGGGGGTTGGGAACCGTCTCATTCATTACAACACGCCACTGTTGGCCGTTGGGACCGACTCCTTCACGAATGACAGTTCGCGTAGCATCTTGTTGGTATGGAGAGGATGTCCTCACAGACGCCGCAGGCGCTGGACTTCCTGTTGCTCCAGGAATGATACCTTCGTGAGCCGTATGGGGGCCTTGCCTTCCCCGGTTCTGGGCTAGGAGCTCCTCCATCCTCCTCTGTCCCATCTGCGCGTTCATGGTGGCCATCCATTGCAGTTGGTGCTGGGCAAACTGTTGCGGCGTGTACCCTGGCGGCAGACCAGCCGCCTGGCCTACGGGTGGCATGCCATGCATGGGCAAGTGAGGGACCCCGGACGCTGGCGCATGGGGGATGGTTGGGATTGGTGGCCATGGCCCATGCCCAATTCGCACTTGGACCTGAGGCGCAACACCAAAAGGGATATTGTGCTGAGGGAGAGGCTGATTGTGGACATTGTTCGCTGGTTGCGCCTGAGTCTGATTCCCATTCACACCGACTGGCTGTGGACCAAAAGCTGGCATTTGAGCTGTCGCGTGCCCTTGCGGGGGAGCATTGTCAGGTGCGGCACCGGAGGCTGCCGGATTGAGTGCGGGAGCCGGTTGCGCATCCATTGGTTCCCTCAGTACGAGATGGAGTGTTTGATGCTCGGCAGAGCGGATCTGTGCAGGACGAGACACACAATGTCAGCGAGGGCCCAAAACACGAGGGGGTTTCGGGTTTGAGCAGAGCCAGGGAGGTGGCGCAACACGTACAGCATCGACACCAAAGACATCCAACAAGGTGTCATCGTCGCGGGCGAGCAAGCGACCTCGGTGGATGAGGCGTTGCGCATTGTCAGCTGGCCTCGCCGCAAGGACGTTGCGTAACCGCTCCTTGAGCTGGCGGACACTGGTGTTGGTGGGGATGCCTCGAATCAACCAGGGCTGGGGTACGCCGGCCGAGGGCGACATGATCTGTAGGTCGAGGCTTTCGGGCGCAGTCATTGTGCTCTCAGCGCCCTGGGGGCTGGCTGCGGCCATGATGAAGAACACGCGAGGTGGAACGAATGGCGTAAAAGAGGTGAGCCTGCGGGCGTGCTCGCGCGACCTGGAGTCGACGGGAAGACTGCTGTGTCGTCAGCAGGCCAGCTCAACGGAGCAAATCAGCCGCGCTGGGCGCAAGGGAACATGGCGCAAGGATGCAGGTCTGGCGGACAGCGACGGGCTTGTCGATGCGATGTCTAATCTGAAAGGCGACGGCAGCGTTGGTCGTGCGAGTGGGGGTTTCTTGTGCGCTTGAGGCGTGGTGCTGGGCAAGCAAGTTGTTGTTGGGCAGGCAGCTTGGTGTTGTCATTGTGCTAGGTGACGGGCTGGTGGGAGCTGGACTGGAGCTGTGGAGGGTTACCTCCACGTAGCACTTTTGGCACCTTGCCGGCTTTCCTGGCAGCAGCCAATGCTAGCGGCCAGGTACGCCCCACGACCCTGGCGCAGGGAAGCCCACTATGCTGGTGACTCAGCAGGTACTGTCTAAGTCAACCTCAGTGACGTCTGTCATCCTCCGCGTCTTTCCCTGTCGAGATGGCCATGAACACCGGAGGAACTGCTAGCTTGGGTGTTTGTGCAGATGTTCCGAGACTCTCTGCTCCCGCTGAGACCGGGTTTATGCACAACAGGAGCTCCTTGTGGACGTCTGCAAGGCATAACAGCAGCTCCAACAGTAGCTGTCAGTGAGGTGCCTGAAATGCCGCTAGCCACCGCCTGCATCGTGAAGGGCCGGGGGTGGATTTGTCTGGGGTCTGCCCGCTTTGCGTCATTCAGCATGTCTGGAGCTTTCCCGTCGCGGCGCCGACACCCAGAGGCTCGCAATCCGACTTATTTCCTGCCCGTCGCCTGCCCTTACTTACTGTCCTCCGGGCCACCTCTGACCTGACCGAGCCCGGGTCAAATCAAGTCGCTTTGCAACAAAACGCCGTGCTTCAGCCATGGCGTCCATGCAGGCTGTCATGTTGAGGCGCTCACTTCATGTGCCCTCGCGAGCCTCGCTGACCACCACCTCGCGACCTCTGACGCACTCCTCCTCGACCACATGCCCGCGAGCCGCCTTCCACCATGCGCCACGCCGGCCCCAGAACGAGCGGTTTCGGTCAAGACTTGGCGACGCCCTCAATAACACAAAGATCCAGTGGAAACCGATCCCAATTGGCCTGGGGATAGGCTTCCTGGGCCTCTTCCAATTCTACCGCACACAGACCAGAGAAAAGGAGAATACCCCAGACAATGGCGACCGGCCTAGGAGGCGGGAGCGAGTTAGACCAGAAGGACCTTGGTAAGTTTCAAGGTTGATACCATTGTGCGGTGCTTTCTCTACGAGCACGGCTGATCACGGTGCACCGTTTCCAGGCAGGTGCAAGTCATGTCTACGCTGCCATTGAAGGCGATCTCCAGATTATGGGGGAAATTCAACGAGATTCCCATCCCATACTACCTCCGTGTGCCCGGCTTCAAACTGTACTCTTGGATCTTTGGCGTCAACCTTGACGAGGTCGCTGAGCCAGACCTCCACGTCTTCCCCAACCTTGCCTCCTTCTTCTACAGAAAGATCAAAGACGGCGTGAGGCCTTTGGACCCAAACCCGAACGCCCTCATTTCCCCTGCTGATGGCCGGGTTCTGCAATTTGGCAAGGTTGTCGGTGGTGATATCGAGCAGGTCAAGGGAATGACCTACAGTGTTGATGCTCTTCTCGGAAAATCGACACCACCAGCCAGCATCGCGAGCGGTTCTTCAGGCATAGACCCAAAGAAGGTTGAGTCTCACGGTGATGAGAAGCTTGTCAAGCAAGACGAGGAGTTTGCCAAGGTCAACGGCATTTCCTACACCATCCCCGATCTCATTGGTGGGTCAAAGAAGGAGTCCCACGCAGGCCACAGGGTCAGCGACCAGACCACGCGGCCGTCCAGTCCTGGCGCTGTCGCCGATGTGCGCGCCGAACTTGCCCTTGGCGAGAAACCTTGGTATGACCTGCTGTCTGAGGACAAGAAGAACTCGTTGTACTATGCCGTGGTATATCTTGCGCCTGGAGACTACCACCGCTTCCACTCGCCGGCAAACTGGGTTGTGGAGCGCCGCCGCCATTTTGCTGGCGAGCTGTACTCGGTGTCCCCATACTTGCAGCGAACTTTGCCGGGACTGTTCACGCTCAATGAGCGTGTCGCGCTGATCGGTCGGTGGAGATGGGGTTTCTTCAGTTACGTTCCTGTCGGAGCGACAAACGTTGGCTCCATCATTGTCAACTTTGATAAAGAATTGAGGACCAATTCCTTGCTCACCGATACGGAGGCAGATCGGGCTGCCGCAGAGGCTAAAGCAAGAGGCGAGCCCTATAGTGGCTTCGCGGAGGCGACCTACACTGCCGCCAGCTGGGTACTTGGCGGCCATGCCTTGCGACGTGGCGAGGAAATGGGCGGCTTCAAGCTGGGCAGCACCATCGTCCTTGTCTTTGAAGCTCCAGCTGCAGAGAATCCTGCCGCGAAGGGAGGCTTCAGGTGGGCTGTCGAGATGGGACAGAAGGTCAAAATGGGTCAGGCCCTTGGCTATGTGGAAGAATGATCGCATTGTTGCGATCGCTGCGCTGAGGGAGATACAGGCTTTGGTGGCCGTGTACAAATTCTCTGCCATGTACTGCTATACTGTTCATATATACCACAACTACACAATACCACAGCCTCTTCCTCGGTGCCATTCCCCTTCCACCAAGGCAGAGGTTAACAACGGTGATTTAAGCATCATCAGAATGATGGGGACGATCAAAGGGTGTTCAACACCTTTTTCCATTGGCCGCTCACCACCTCTTCCAGCCAAGTCTCCTCGGTTGGCCGTCAATCTGGAGTCCAGTAGGGGGGAAGTTGTTGTGGAAATCGTTGCGGAGCAACACTCTGGATAGGACGAGTGTCCTAGCATCCGCTGACGTTCGGTGCCTTGGTGACTCTTATGCTGATTCGCAGGAACTGATCTTGTAATCAGTTCAATATAGAAGCACTAGTCACGACGATGTTTCTTGGGAAGGGCACTGTATCCATGCCATAACGCGACCCTTGGCATCATGGTGATGCTCATGAATTCATGCTTGGCATCTATGGTGGGCAAAATCCATTGTCGAATAAGTCCCCGGCTGGTCCTCTGGATACACTGATGGGGTGGATTATACCTCAGGAATAATGGAGGGTCAGAATTATGAATTTTTCAAGAGCCTGCTGTCTGCGGTGTGAACTATATACTGAGATGTTCCTGTGGTACCGACTTGACAGACCGAGTCCATTTCACAAGACTCGATGTTCATTATCTTCATCTTCAGGCCAATTGCATATGCACGTGGGCTCTGGCGACTGGTCGCATCACCAGCTCGAGGCAGAACTCGCATATGGATGCCCCTTGACTTTTATTCTCACTGCCTGTATGTGCTTTTCACCAACTCAGCACGTCGCGAAATACCCCAGCACAGTGACAGCTTTCGCTTATTACCAACCGCCCCTGCCCGAGCTGTGAAGGCCCCGGGAATAGTCCGTAAGTTGGATGTCGTCACAACTCATTACGCCCGTCTGATTGGCCTGGAACCCTGTAGCCAAGCTCTTCTGTGGTGGAGAAAAGGTTGGTTGATGGCTGGGCAATGTCGTCTCGACCAGCGTCGTCGGTTCTCGGCACCTCTGTGCCTGGTCGGTGTATTCATGCCGTCCCAACGGCTAGATTCTTTGTTTAGAGATGGCTTTTGAGGATATCCCTTTTCAATTGCCATGCAGCCGTGAATGGCGGCTCGAGCTAGCAGTCTAGTCATATGGTATAACTCTGATCATCTGGCCGCCCAGCCATCCATCCATACAAGTCGTCGTTTGTACTGCTGGGCCCGACATTTCAGCCAAGCGAGCATGGATCACGATTCTTGAGTGTTGCGGTCTTCTCATGCAGCGGAACAACCTGCATTGGGACGGCCGCTCCGGGGGACGAGGCCGAGTGCCCCTGCTTTCATCCCAGTTCGCGATGCTGTCTGCCTCTGCGTCTATTTGAATGCCACCCTCCTAACTTGTATGGCCCTAAATTTTCACGTCAATTGGTCATCCGGTCGGTCACAAGACAAGCCGGTTCATTTTTGGCTCAAAGATGCCTTCCCTGGCGCAAATTGTCTTCCTCCCTGCGATTGCCGCTCGCGCGGTCGAGGGCGCAGCTCAAATCAGTCCGAGGCTGAGCAGCAGCACTGCGAGTCTGCCGCATATCCTTACTGACAACATGTGGCCCACGATCACAGAGGCGCCTAGTCTTGGAGACTTGCGCAGGGAAGTTGCGTACGAGGGCAACTTCCTGTTCGCTCCGGACAGCATGTGTGGTTATGTCAGTGGCGACACAAGTACGACGAGATCCCTTCCTCTCAGTCCCTCTCAGTATCACACTGCGGGAGACCTTTTGAACACGTCGCCAGGATTCGATATCAAAGATGCAATGAGCTGACTGAGCCCAACGGGTTCCCTACAGAACGACCATGGTCGTGCGAGACCAACGACAAGTGCGTGTTCGCGACACATGAAGGCGGCTTTGTGGCATGCTGCAAGGACGGGGAGTGTTCTCGCGCGCAGACGAGCTGCATCGACGCTGCAACATTTGGTGCCGGGCTCTGCGGCGAAGACTGTCAATCGAACAGTTTAATTTGTAAATGGTAAGCCCTGCAGACGAGGTCCTCCACGATGGGTGTTTTACGACAAAAAAGATGTCTGCACAGTCTTGTCTCTATGTGAAGTCTGGATCACTACTGACGTGAATCCAACAGTACCGCCAGCACTGGGCCTTACTGCGGCACTCTGACGTTCTTCAGTGGTATCGTCGACTACGCGTGCCGGGCAAACAAGAACACCACCCTGCAGCAGATGGAGACGACTTCGGTCGGTCAGGTAGAGGTCACGCCCCTGAGCAGTGTCTGGATGGGTATGACTGCTATCAACGGCGGCAAGGACGCAACCACAAACAGCACAAGCAGCAGCAGCCGCAGCGAATGGCTCTCCGCCTTGAGTCCTACCCAAATCACCAGCTCTGCATCTCCATCGCAACCTTCAACAGGCGTTATTGTGGGAGCTGTTGTTGGTGCTTTGGCAGCTGTGATTCTTGCTGGCTTGGGAATTTGGCTGTTCCTCCGCCGACGTCGAGAGATGGAACAGCACCAATATCGGCACGCAGCAACCGAGTTACCAGGAGGCTCTGAGTCGACAGTTGTCGCAACTCCACCACATGGCGGACCTATGGCAGCTGCTCAGTTGGGAGGATATATCTTTGAGAAGGCCAAGGTTGTCGAGGCACCGTCAGACTCATCTTTGCCGGATCGAGGCCCCAACTCTGCCTTGGACCAGACCAGGCATGGACACGGATACGGCCATCTATAGCTGACTGGCCTGCAATGAAGAGACAGGTAGCAGATTCTGAAGGAATCGGCTCTTTTGGTGGAGCTATGCTTATTCAAGGAAGGTTCCGGTAGAGGCAGGCACTCATCGGGCACGGAGATATCCTACAAAGCTTCTGGACCTGCTTGAAATGCTTCATAAGAGTAAAATAGTCTTCGCCTGCGCGTGTTTCTGTCTATAGAGGTTGACAGCTACATACTCACTAGCATTGGAACCCTCTTCCCGTTGAACTAATAGACAAGTTGCAGACCACGTCTACAGTGATAGCTATGAGACCCTTGCCATGGAATGAAGCCATGGACGTTGTTGTCGGGCTTTCGGTCTGCATTTCGGCCACGAACGGGTGTGCCTTTCGCAATAGATTCTCCCTGAAGCCAGGCCATGCAGTTTGTCCACGTAGAAATATTGACTTGCGATTCAATTGAGGGTTATGGAAAAGAGCAAGAAAGTCTTCCGAGAGTGCCGAGCGTGTCTCTAGCATAGGCACGGGGCCCCGAGGAAGGTGTTCATTCAGCTGCAAGTTATGTCCAGGAGGGTTAGTGGCGAGTGCAGGGAATTCGTACTCATCTCTGTACGTCAGGTTCGAAATTGGCGGTTTTCGCGGGAAAATATATCGCCTTCTCAACGCGTCACACAATCTGATGTTCACTCATCCTCTAAGCCCCTGATCCTCCATTCTGTTCGTTTTAACCTAACAGAGGTGGCACAGTACACATCTGCGAGGCACCTTGACCCGGCACCCGTCTTACCTTCATGCCCTCCGAAAGGAACGACTGTGCTAGTCCGCCATCAATACGCACACCATTCCTTCTGAACGACTTGGCCATTCACCAAGAACGCCCGGAGCGTCAGCGTCCGTGTGCTCCAAACAGGTTTGTTCGGGTTCTTGTTCTCTGAAAAAAATGCTGGCGGGCATTGTGCGCATGGCCTGGGTCTCGCTCAAGACGTGTAGTCGCGCTCTCTCTGAGTATTTATCTTCATGTCGCTCTGAGTTGACCGAGGCGGTTCGTTCGTTTTCCTCGGTCGGTATGGTAGGGGGCGTGTGAGACTTCTCATGCGAAACTCTGGTCAAGTCTCGAAGACTATCTGTCGTTGTCGTTGTCGTTGTCGTTGTCGTTGTCGTTGTCGTTGTCGTTGTCGTTGTCGTTGTCGTTGTCGTTGTCGTTGTCGTTGTCGTCTCGCGCTCTACTGCTCATTCGCAACCACAACCGAGCCACCATGATCCCTCCATCCTAACACTCATCTCGACATAATGACAAGTCGTTCAGCATTATAGTTCCATCTGGCCAAGGTAGGCCGATCTCCCCTCAATACTCGGGGGGAACCCGTTACCCAGAAGAACATGAACGCGGCCGCAGTCCCTGTCGCCACACTGTCCGGTCCTTTTGGAGTTGTTGCTCCCTTGCAAGAATCTGCGCATTCTCCATCCCGTCACGGTTCGTCCAACATCGAGCCTCGTCGAGATGCACTGTCAAATTGTTGTCGCGGGGGCCGGATAGCGTCAGTGGTGTCTTCGAAGCAAAGAGGAAAAAGGCGGATTTCAAAAGCATTCAAGCAAGTTCATCAGAGGAGAGCTGTCATTCGGGGTATCGAAAGTGTCTACAAATCCCTTCTTCTTCTTAACATTCTCCCGAGCAGCTGCGTCTAGATAGATATGGGAGGAGGTCCTTTGCCGGCCTTCAGCTGCATAGTTTGCTCCGTCCCACTGCTGCCTAGGTGGCCTGTGGCAATACGAGAAGAGGAGGGGGAAAATTTCCTCGTGTGCGATGGCTCGTGTGAAATTCGCCACATGAGGACTCCAAGATGGACAGAGCTACGGTTGTGTTAACACAGCTGCAATTCTCAACAGGGAGACATGAATGGATTCAATTCATGCTGGATATTATTTCAAATTGACTAGCAGAGTAGAATGATCGAAACAATTCCTGCGGGCTTTGAGGCAGCGGTGCAAGGGCACTCGTTGCATCACCCTAACCCTGGAGTCCCAAGCAGCACTGCCCGGGACCTGAAGATCACCAATGCACAGCGGCAAACTATACTGGATGGCAGGCAAGCCAAGAGGTATTAGGGGAGGCTGGGGAGCCCTAAATGTGACCTAATTATGGTACGTGGTGGGTTTGGCGGCTAAGGGGTCTCTGAATACGAGGTCTTGGTCCCCTTGTCCTCCCCGGCTCAGACAGCTACCCAGCAGATCTCAGCTCAGCTCAGCCGCCGGGCCAGCTAGTCCGCCAACCATACAGCTTTTCTGGCAGGATACGAAAAATCATGAAGCGGTCGCAAGCCCGAGAATGATGCCATTTTGCTGCGTGGTGAAACTTGATCTCAACCGTTCCGTTATAAGTGGACCCGCATCGGATGGCATGTTTTGTTCCGAGATCAATAGTATAGCAGTCGACCTCGCCCTGCACGACGGCGGCACGTACATCGCGAGTACGAATGAGGGAAAGGTCTTTCTTGAAGACTCCTCGCAGCTTCCGGGGGCTGGCAACGCCGGGCTCGACCAGGACCTTATGCTATTATGTTGAGCTTCCTGCACTGTACCTCCTTGACTCGATTACTGAGCCTTCATCCTTTGGCCGAATTACTGATGGGCATCATTCCTGGTGATCGGCGGTGAGTTCCTTAGCATGCATGAAAGCAGCAGGTCGGTCGGGCAGACCAGGTACAACCGAGGGGGTGTGACATGAACGGATCTGAAAACAGGGCTGCCCAAAAGTTCCCGAGAGACTTCGGCCGCCGGCCTCCCTCAACTCAATGATAGATAAGATGGTGTCCGATGGTTTTCATGAAGCCTTGATCTGCTACTAAGTCGAAACTTCTGATGAAGCTACGTGGAACGCCACTACTATGGGCCGGCTGACAGCAGTTCAACAACGGCCTCATGACATTCGGTCCGCTATCCACGGCGTTAGTCATTAGCAGGCCAGTCTGTCTGCGTGTGATTGGGTAGACGACTTGACCCGACACATCACTCTGTTGGTCCTCGCTTTCCGTGCATCGGAACGACGCGGAGGGGAGTAGACCGATGCTCCTCCCTCGGGTTGGCTGTGTCGATCACCTGCTGTCAAAGCCATCACAGGGTGTTCCCCTGCCTCAACAATAGCCCGACCCTATCTTCTCAAGTCGCCTTTCATACCCTGAAACTCATAGGAGAATAGGTTGACGCCCCCTCCACCTGTCCCTGGTGAGGAGCAGTCACGGGGCTTGTTGGCCAGTATGTCTTCAGAAGACAAGGGGAACTCTGTGATGCCACCTTGCTTCCTGCACGATAATCTTTCTTGTCAAGCATCTGCCCTTCCCTGCTTCCATGGTTTAGTCATGAGACGCCTGCCTGATCCGGTTGATTCCTTCGATCGTCATCTTTGGAGTCTTGCGTGTATCGGGGCAGTGAGCTTCTCACCAGATGCGACGCACGCACAGTGCTATGGTGACCGGTGCGGCACTCCACATCTGGCAATGGTTGGTCAATAAGAGGGAAAGAGTAAACGAAGCTGAGATTGACGGATCGCGTGTGCTTCCAGCCGAAGCAGAGGCCGAGGGCGGCCACCTGTGGGCGCAAGCGCTAGACCAGGCCTTCCCCTGGCATGAGGAGTGCTGGTGATAGGGAGTACGCTACTTGTCAGAAGGCTTCCCAGCAGACATGGCGGCCAGCTGTCTGCATCGAGACTTGGTTCTGTCCCAGGACAATCACGCTCTGTGGTCAAATCCTAGTCTCTCACCATCCTGGACATTTGCGTTGACTCGGACGCCCTTGCGTACCATGGAAATGCCAGCATTCTCGTGTACGAGATGACACTTTTGCTGAGCGAGGGCCTCCGTGCAGCCACTCAAAACCTTGACTGAGAGGAGCATGCCTACAATAACGTCGAGACGAAGATTTCCCTTGCGTCGTTCTTGTGTCCTCTACACACACAAGTAGGGTGCAAGGAACTAGGGGACGAGGTGCCTACCGGTTTCTTCCAGACAAGATCGGGCACTGTCAGCTCGGAGAGAATCAGCACATGTCGGACAAATGGAGTGGCAGTGGATGGGCGATAATGCTTCCAAGCCCAGTGCCCCGTGGCTGGCGCAGGAACGACAAGCTCCTTTGCCTTTACAAGTTGCTGCTGGCCCAGCTCTGACCCGGCTCAGAGGAGCGTGGATGTCTAGCGGATGTATGGTTGTGACAGCTCGTGAGTGAGTGCTGCACCTGCCACACCTTGTGGTCAGCTCGGCTGAACAGTGGAAACCGTGACGCACGAGGAGCATACCTGTACCTTCCTTACCTTAAGGTGAGTACACTATAGTACCTGAATGCAACTGCCTCTCTCCCAATATAAGATTCAGCACTACAGCTCGAGAGCAACCGAAACGGATCCCGAGTGCGAGAAGCAAGCACAGTGTCTTCTGCGCATCGTCAACCAAGCCCAAAGCCACTATTATTCCGTACGGACAGGATGGGACGTGCGTGTTGCGTGGTGGGTTGCCTTGAAACCACGTCAACACCGCCAGGCAGGCAAGCCTCCTTGCAGAGCCGTGGGTGCACGACAGGCTTCTATTGGGCCTGCTGTGCTCGTGTGACGAGTGACCCGGACCCGGTCCCCTCACTATGCCTTTGGCTCTTCATTTCGGCCACGAGGGCACGCAGCGGCCTCCCGATGTTGCTTCCACGGGGACGGACCAGCAACAGCAGTCTCATTCGCTTATCGGGCCGCCTAGTCAGCAGCTTGCCGTCTCGACTGTTTACCAAACCAGGCTGGGCCCCATTGCTGTTCACATGTCACAGCGACAACAGCGCTGGCCGGGGTTGGCTTGTGCTGTGCCACCGCCCCTCCCCCCAGGTGTGCACGGGCTGAAGCGTGGTGCCATTTGTCCCCCGCCAGCTGGTGGGTTCCTTATACTCGCTAAAGGCATATTGGCCCGCCCCATAATTCTGAGCAGCATCTTGGCGGCCAGGACGGCGCCATCCGCATGGGTTCTTTATGCAGCTCGCCCTACGTCAC